ACTAATAAAATTAATGCTTTTAAAAGCATCACACTAAAATGTTTTTAAGGCAGTAAAAAACATTTTTTTAAAGTCTGAGTAAAATGCTTTTAAAAGCATCACAGAAAAACGTTTTTAACAGGATAAAAAATGCTTTTAAAAGAGTCACAATGTGACTCTTTCAAATGTGTTACAGAAAAACGTGTTTAACAGGGTAAAAAATGCTTTTAAAAGAGTCACAATGTGACTCAAAAGCATCACAGAAAAATGTTTTTAACAGGGTAACAAACGCTTTTGAAAGCGTCAGACTGTGACGCTTTCAGAAGCGTCACAGAACAATGTTTTTACTGTGGTAAAAAACACTTTTAAAAGCGTCAGACTCTGACGCTTTCAAAAGCGTCATATAAAAACATTTTTTACCCCATCCTGACTGCATCAGACAAACAGATCCCTGCTCCAGCCCAAAACTGTTTGACCTTCAACTGAAACGGCCACCTTGCGCGTAAAAATAGCAGCTATCTCTGGCAAGAATCCGAAATTTTTGCTGGGTATACATTTGTAAAAATATTCATTTATAAACTCACAGCGTCTGAGTTACATTAACTCAGTCTTGAATATTCACACCATTGTTTGAGCAGGGAAAATACTTCAGCATAAATGCTTGGCTATAAGGAATACATTATTCCTCAAAAACGGATTCAAAAATAAAAACTTTGAACCAGAAGAATTTTTATGAGGACCATGATGAATTGACTGTATCAGACTATAAATACAGTATAAGTAACGTCTATAAAGGTACTACAGTATACATTTGTTTTGTCAAGCAAAATATGCTTTAGACATGGAAACAATTTTTTTAATGTAAGTGCTTCAAAAATTAAGCTTTAGGGTTTCAACCAGTTTCATGAGAATTTAAAACAACGACAAAAAACAATTAATAATGGATGTTGTACCACGAATTTATCCCTGATAGTCTCAAATCCACTTATACAAAGCCAGAAATAATAAGAAATACCTAATATAATATGCAGAAAAACATTTTTCAAAATGGGACTACAATAATATGAATAATAAAAGGAAATTAAATTGAGGCCCAATTTTAGCAAGGGATCGTATTATTTCTTCCCATTCCTGATGCCTTTCTTGTCATGATTTTTGACAAATATACGATTTCTCGTTTCATGGAACATCCGCTAGATGTCTCTTCATCATTGGCAGCAGCAAAAGACGACATCGCAGATTACAGGCATTCGTCACAAGAAGAGGGATATTTTTCATCATTGTTCTCACGCTGCGACTACAAAGCATCACGTTGAATTATTCTGAAAAATACCAGAAAACTGAAGAAAACAGCATTTGGATCCCCAGCAAAATCGAAAATAATGAGCCAGAATCAGGCCAAACATGCACGAAAAAAATCCCGGAAACGTCATCCAATAATAAGACCGATTTGAAATTGGTTCGGATGCAAATATCCGACTTGCCAGAACGGCCTTATATTTTCCCCAATGGTTCCTTCAAGTATGGTTCTCAGGAAACCCGCTGGTTCCCGATTCATCCAGAAGAATCCCCGGGTTACGACAGATTGTTGGAGCAGAGCCTTTTCAATCCATCAGCTGCTGAAGGCGCCGCAGTCAAAACAATAATGGTGATGGATGGGTTCTCCTGGTTCAGATCTGGGAAGAAACCCTTTTTACGGTGCCCTGTGAGAAAATGTATTTTGAGAAGACCAAGGGAAGTGCCACTGGACAAAACGGACCTCGTGGTCTTTACCAATGGGGTTAACATAAAAAGGACAAAAAAGCACAGGTACTGCAGTACTGTATAGGAAAAACATTTAATATTTACTGTATATTCCAGCAGCAAAAGTTTCTCACTAAACCAAGAGTTGTCCTGGGATAAAAAATGAAATTAAAATCAAGTATCATGCCCAAAACAGCAAGACAAGCATTTAAAAACACATAGTTTTACAGTTTCTCATAGCTTTAAAAATAATAATATGGCCATATACACACTGTATATGTAACATGAAAAAAGTATGCGGTGTTCTTAAATTCATTGAATGGATTGTATATCCAGTTGAGAATTCTATTACTAAAATAGTCTTCTCAACTGGATATACATTGTTATATAGTTACACTTTCTCACATACATTATTAGGCATAGCAGCATATCAGTTATAAAGAGAGTAAAACTCACGTCAATGCATTGTTGAAAAATTTCACAGTGATGTAATCCTTGCAGTTGCTGTTTTCAAAAGCCAAATAGAATTTATAAGTATCCCTTAACATCTCAGAACACGTGCTTGCATTGTTCCTTGGACAAACCAGACTCCCACAAGCTCCAAAAATGTCCACTTGAATGTACTTGCTGAGTTCTTTTACATAGTCAAGACGATGGTTGACAGTTTCGCAATTTGACACAAACCATGCAACTTTCTTTGTCTTGTTCATAGCCAGATTTGTATTTTGCTCTTGAGATTGAACCCTTTCATCAAAGTACATCGACTTTCCATGTGGAGTGGCAATGTCAGAGTCTGAGCGGTATGTGGCTGTCCAATTTACAGAATGTGGCTCTGAGTATGCTGAGGAATGCAGAGGACTTTCCAGAATGTAGAGGACCCAAATCTGGTGCCTATATATTCACATGTTAGAAATGGTTAGAAGAATTTAAGAAAAGGGCACAAAAGTGAAATTTCACTCGATTATGTACCAAATGAAAAATTCATTTCAGTATGTTGTCACTTTGAACTTTTAACATTGCTTATTGCCAATGGAAAGCAAGACATTGAAAAGAAGGATAGAAAATCTTTGGCATCATCCAGGGTTATTTTTCACCATTTTGGTCAAATTGAGAAAATTGGATGATGCCAGAATTTTCTAATTTCTTACATGTATGTTCATCTTCCTGAGAAAACATTCATTATTCCTTGTTCACAATAAAGTTACTGAATTGATAGAAAATGATTTTGGGCCAAGGATGATATTTTTTGCACTCTGGAACAAATTGTTTTTTTTTCAATTACATAAAGATGGAGGAATATTATGTTCTGTGGAAGGAAATTTATAATAAGGAAGTGGAAATATTATCCCATTTTCCATGCAAGTCTCTAGCAGTGATACATTTATAGAATGGGTAATCTTATGTCACAAATGACTATATTTAACCCCAATCCAAAAGTACAGTCAACCCCTATCTAACGGACTTGATTCGATCAAGGGACAAGTCTGTTAGACAAAAAGTCCTTTACACGAATTCAATTACATAAAAAATTGAAAATTTCAATTTTCGACATTAATTTTAAACCAAAAGAAGTCTGTTTGGTGGATTTTGTCTGTTGGGCAGGAGGAAAAACTGCTTGCAGCGCTGGTCTGTTTGGCAAAAATCCCTTACATGGGAGGTCTGTTAGGCAGGGGGCCACTGTGTATAGCTATTGCTGTACAGGTGCATGGTACCTTGCAATTTGCCCTAAATCTGTTGCCAAACTAGGGGCAAATTTCAAAGCAGTCAAATTGTGAGACACTGGAATTCAAGAATATTAGTTTTAAAAATGCAAAGAGTGGCCAAAGCAGATTGAATTCTGGGGTAAAGGTCAAATTGCAAATCAACCTCCCTGCAAATTTGACCATAGAATTGCAGGATGGTTGAAATGCAGGTGGTTAAATTGCAAGGTAGTACCTGTATACATACTGTATATTGAATATGTTCTGGCATGTTTTCAGACAAAACTACAATCGTGACTTTCCCTTCAATATTGTACTGTATTCTTAACTAATCCAAGTAATATTCTGGATTACACAGAACTGAATGGCCAGCATTTAACTTTTTTTATTTTAATATATAGGAATGATTCATTTGCTATAGGATAAATAAGACAGGATGCACTTCCTAAAATGAGGTAGGATCGAATGAATGACCTCTTGACCATATTATATAGACAAATAAAATAGTTTACAGTACTCGCCAATCTACAGCACACAGGTTTGTGAGAAATAAGGGATTGTAGAAAAGCATTATTTCAGCTTTTTCAAGGACTGAAATAGACTTCTGAACTGGATATACAATCCATTCAATGAATTTAAGAACACTGCATACTTTTTTCATGTTACATATGCAGTGTGTAGATGGCCATATTATTATTGGTAAAGCTATGAGAAACTGTAAAACTTTGTGGTTTTAAATACTTGTCTTGCTGTTTTGGGCATGATACTTGATTTTAATTTCATTTTTGCATCCCAGAACAACTTTTGGTTTAGTGAGAAACTTTTGCTGCTGGAATATACAGTATTTATTAAAGGTTTTTCCTATACTGCAGTACCTGTGGGTTTCTGTCCTTTTTATGTTAACCCCATTGGTAAAGACCACCAGGTCCGCTTTTTCCAGTGGCACTTCCCATGGTCTTCTCAAAACGCATTTTCTCACAGGGCACCGTAAAAAGGGTTTCTTCCCAGATCTGAACCAGGAGAACCCATCCATCACCATTATTGTTTTGACTGCGGCGCCTTCAGCAGCTGATGGATTGAAAAGGCTCTGCTCCAACAATCTGTCGTAACCCGGGGATTCTTCTGGATGAATCGGGAACCAGCGGGTTTCCTGAGAACCATACTTGAAGGAACCATTGGGGAAAATATAAGGCCGTTCTGGCAAGTCGGAAGGCTCTGCTCCAACAATCTGTCGTAACCCGGGGATTCTTCTGGATGAATCGGGAACCAGCGGGTTTCCTGAGAACCATACTTGAAGGAACCATTGGGGAAAATATAAGGCCGTTCTGGCAAGTCGGACATTTGTATCCGAACCAATTTCAAATCGGTCTTATTATTCGATGACGTTTCCGGGATTTTTTTCGTGCATGTTTGGCCTGATTCTGGCTCATTATTTTCGATTTTGCTGGGGATCAAAATGCTGTTTTCTTCAGTTTTCTGGTATTTTTCAGAATAATTCAACGTGGTGCTTTGTAGTCGCAGTGTGAGAACAATGATGAAAAATATCCCTCTTCTTGTGACGAATGCCTGTAATCTGCGATGTCGTCTTTTGCTGCTGCCAATGATGAAGAGACATCTAGCGGATGTTCCATGAAACGAGAAATTGTATATTTGTCAAAAATCATGACAAGAAAGGCATCAGGAATGGGATGAAATAATACTGTAGTGACAAAAGATCCCTCGCTAAAATTGGGCCTCAATTTAATTTCCTTCTGTTATTTATATTATTGTAGTCCCTTTTTGAAAAATGTTTTTCTGAATTATATCAGGTATTTCTTATTATTTCTGGCTTTGTATAAGTGGATTTGAGACTATCAGGGATGAATTCGTGGTACAACATACATTATTAATTGTTCTTTGTTGTTGTTTTAAATTCTCATGAAACTGCTTGAAACCCTAAAACTTAATTTTTGAAGCACTTACATTAAAAAAAATTGTTTCCATGTCTAAAGCATATTTTGCTTGACAAAACAAATGTTCTTTAGTACCTTTATATAGAAGATACTTATATTTATAGTCTGATGAAGTCAATTCATCATGACCCTCATAAATATTCTCTTTGTTGAACTTTTTATTTTTGAATCCGTTTTTGAGGAATAATTTATTCCTTATAGCCAAGAAGTTATGCTGAAGTATTTTCCCCGCTTGAACAATGGTGTATACTGAGTTAATGTAACTCAGACGCTGTGAGTTTATAATTGAATACAGTGGCCCCCTGCCTAACATACCTCCCATGTAAAGGATTTTTGCCAAACAGACCAGCTCTGCAAGCAGTTTTTCCTCCAGCCCAACAGACAAAATCCACCAAACAGACTTCTTTTGGTTTAAAATTAATGTTGAAAANACAGACTTCTTTTGGTTTAAAATTAATGTTGAAAATTGAAATTTTCAATTTTTTATGTAATTGAATTTGTGTAAAGAACTTTTTGTCTAACAGACTTGTCCCTTGCACAAATCAAGTCCATTAGATGGGGGTTGACTGTATTTTTACAAATGTATGGCTAACCTAAAATAAAACCGTTTTGATTGAAAAATAATTTTTAAATAATTTTAAAAAGCAATCATATGTGCTGATGATGTGGCTGACAAATAAAATCTGTGGCTTATTGAATTTTATTAAAGAAAATGTTCTTCAATCTCATAATCAAGGCCTGTCCTGGGGTGGGAGGTGCCTTTGTGCAAGAACAAATTTGGCGCCCTTTGAAAAAAATAAAAATGTTTGTAGGGATCATAATATAGAATAATTAATGCTATTTGATTGTTCTAGAATCTGGAGTACTGAAACACATTATATATACAGTAACATGCATATACTGTATGAGGAAGGCAAAGAATGATTACAATAAAATACTGTTGCAAAAAATGTGTGGGACTTCAGAAAAAGTTTGTTTCACAAAATAATTTGTTGTAACAAGAATTTGAAATTTATTGGAAGATTAGACAACCTTTTTTCAAAACAGACCTGCAGATATTTTAAATCATCCTTTCAGATATTTTTTGGTGCTTAAAAAACTGATCTTCTAAAATAAATTCAATTCTTAATGAAAAAATTTTGCTCGAAGGGACATGTGAACACTAGCACTTTTTCTTGATTGAGTTGTTCTAAGCAATCCCTTAAAGAGCTGTAAGGGCAAATATTCCAAAAAATTAAATCACTAGGGTTTTTCAGGCATACAAACCTCTTTTTAACACGCATTTTGTTGGGCTTTTTCACATAACTGCACCATCATTTATAACCTGTAGGAAATATTTGTAAAGGAGAGGATGTTCACGTGAATTTTGAAGAAATTTTGTCATTGATTCCACCTTATGTCCCAAGAACTAGTCACAGTCACATTTTGAATGGGAAATGAAAGACTGTGCCTGCCTTCATAGGGGATTTTTTATTAGGAAATCATACCAGCATATTCCTTTAAAAAAGTTTGTTATACTGGATTTGGAAAGTTTGTTGTAATGAGATTTTTTAAACATTTAATCTATAGGATTTCCCTATAGAATTCTGTTGGGACTTGGAAATAAGTTTGTTATGATGAAAAATTTGTTTTAATGGTATTTCTGCGAGGAGATTTTACTGTACACTGTCCAGAGATTATACAGGTAACAATGTGTACACCTCTTACTCATTAACTTATTGACAAAGCGGCTGAATAAAATTAAGAAAAACAAAATTAACAAGTATCCTGATTGAGAGTGGATCATGAGAGAGTTTGAGAGAAGTGTCCCTTTCTTCACCAATGGATGATCAGATTAATTTTGCAATTTTTCTAGAACTGTAAAAAAAATACTACAATGATGACCAGTTTGAGTAAGAATGTGTTGATATGCAAGAATTATTTCAAGTTGGTAAGAAATATGGTCTGACCAAGTTTTAGCCACACAGTCATTTCCTGTGTGGAAACACACAATCATTTCACATCACAAAATTTTAAATGCAGTAATGCATGCAGAATGCCAATGAAACTTTAGAAGCATAAAATTGGACATAATCCAATCAGAATTAGGGCTTATGAACTGGCCGGTACAATATACCCTTCAGTAATATGTGTGCACCAAGAGTTTTGGAAGAAAATTTGTTTTAAAAAATGTATCCCTTTAAAGATGATCATGAAGATTTCCCTTTGCACCTTTGAAAAAATTCCCATTCCAGGTATATGGGCAGCAGCTTTCACACTGTAATATTGGGAAGTACTGTATCATATAACAACTGTCAATAAGTTGAATTTTAGCTGATGAAAATTCAAACTTCACATTGTTTTTCAATGGAGTGTGCTGAGAATGTTCTTTAGCAGAAGAGAAAAGGTATCCAACATTCATCAAATGAGTGTTGTGAATCCAAATTTCTATTGAGCTAATTTCAGCAATATTATGTCAAATTCATGTACAGTATCAACAGTTTTACAAATTAATATTGTGCACTTGGACAAAATACTGTATAAATCCTTCATGCAGTTAGTGTTTATGCTACTATGTACAGAGTTTTAGCTATACAGTACTGAAGAAAGTTGACAAATACAATGGCTGAAGTCTCAAATTCTTTGCTTCGCTTCTCTCTCCAGTTGATGAACATTGTTTTTTTTTGCAGGTACTTGGCATCCTTACCTGTGAAGTGCATCTCAAGCTGTGAAAAGTGCTGCTGCCATTTCTTTGTCCTATCCAACCCACCTCAACATACATAAATTGCAAAAAATATGAAAAATTAAAAATACAACAATTACGTGTTTATTGGCCGACTTTGTCATGGCATCAACTGCAAGAGGTATTAAACATTGTTTCAAGTGCTGTGCGTATATTTTTCTTGATCAGGTACATTTTTTAAAGTGTATAAATCAATCAATGCATATTTTATATATACTCGATTTAATTTGAGTTCCACATTTACGCGTTTTCTCAAATTTGAAAGGGAAAATGGGGTGAGCATCATATCTGGGTTTAAAATTTTGAAAAAGTTTTAGAATTTATGGTGTGTGTTATGTATGATTTTATATACAGAAATGAGTATTTCTGGAACGATTTCAACAGGAAACCTTATTCAGGCAACAACAAAAAAAGTTAGCATCACTTTTTGGATTCAGAATGCGCATTCGTGTCTAAATTTAAATTTTACTGGTCTTATCTTTAAAATACAGTACAGTATTGCAATTTCGGAGTCTTTAAAGATGCTGGAGTGCGCAAATTTTAATTATGGGGATACTGTATAACATCGTATCTATTTTTGACTGAAAAACCCTGGGTGTATCTGATGGTACTATAGTTGCATGGTACTTGAGCATAAATGCAGTAATATATAGTAATATTGCATCTTATTTTACACCAAACTTAACGGGGGAAAGATTTGTCAAAAATCCCATTGACAAATTTTGATGAACAAAATTTGATGAAATTAAATCGTTTGACCCTTTGGTGAGAAAATATTGAAACTAACTTCCTTGATCTTGTCCTGAATCTGGATAAAAATTACAGTATTTCATTCAATAATTTAAACTTACTCCACATACAGTGTATACAGTGATTCCCCTTCACGAAGACCATCGCAAAAGAAAAAAATTCCCATGACAAAAAATGCAGATGGGGAAGTATTATTGTGACCCTTGTATAAAAAATTGTTTCACATAAGAGCATTTTTTGGCCAAAAATGCTTACATCAGTTACATGGGATGAAATTGTGATGTATAATTTCGGAAAGTTTCCAAAATTTTAGAGTAACAAGAGGAAAGAGCTGGGGTTTATAGACTGTAAATGTATATTATTGCACCTTAATTTTTTTATTTGAGAAATTGAAAAAAAATTATATAAGCAAGTGGTAAAATGACTAACACAATTTAACATTAAATAATATCCACTTCACAACTTTTTGCTGAAAAAAACACGATTTTTTGACTGTCTGCGCTTCATATATGGTCGTTGGGTCAAGTGCTGGTTGATGCCTGATGGAACCAATTTGATCCGTGTAATCGCGAGGGAAAATTCGTTTCACACAATAAAAGTTCTGCATAATGAAACTCAGCAACAAGCGCTTTACTTTCGTTGTGTGGGACTCACTGTATACAGTACTACGATATACTGTAACTGCATGATTAAAACCTCGTACAGTAACGTGTGATTGGTGTGAATTACGACAGTAATCTAAGAAGGGAAGGATTGCTTCTAGCGACACCTAGCTTCAGAGAATTAACTATGTTCTGTTCGGCAATGTACATCACCCCTGCAGTTCCGCCGCAATCATGTTCGGTTAAGTGATGCCTAAAGCGTGGATTTTCAGCAACGAAATCGTCGATCAGGAATGTATCCGTCTCTGTCGAGTGAATCAATTTTTATGTTGCATGTCGTATCGGCTATTAACTTCATACGTTCCTTTTTTCAGGATTGTTGATCCGTCTTCTTCGAAAGGTTGCGTGATTCGTTTTTCGGTCGTGGTATCGAGAAGCAGTATGCGCCGGTTTGATGATCGCGGTGGTTTTCGGGGTGGAGAGAGAGTAGGCCTTGGCTCTATGGTGGAAGAAGTGCGTCGCGTCAATGTTGAGAAGCCCGTGAATCGAGAGAAAACTTGTCCTATGCTTTTGCGTCTATTCTATCAACTGGGCCGTCATCATTCTCCCATGGATTACGCTCACGGGAAGACCCCATTGGTTGAACTCCAAATCTACACTTGGATGGATGCAAGTCTCCGTGAATTAACGATGTTAATTACCGAAGTTAACCCCGACATGCGTCGCCGTGGAACCAGCTTTGAGTTCAAGATCGTCAGTGCGGGAAACAATGGGTATCGTTTGCGGGAAATCGGTTCCACCATCTCCGGTATGAAAGGACCGGAAGATGCCAAAACGTTGTCGCAAAGTGGGTTCGTCATTGGCGACTATTTGGACATTTGCATCACTCCGGCCCAACGAGTTATGAATCAGAGGCGACCGCGCCCCTACTGATGTGCGAAGAAGATCGCACTGTGTTCTCCTTTTTGTTGTCCGGGATTGTATCGCACTGGTACGATTTGTGATCTTGACAAGTCGTTTCTCCGTATGCTGATAAAGTGTCGTTCCGCTTTGTAAATCATTGCTTTTGGCCAGTGTTGGGAAAGACGCAGATCTCTTCTGCTAAGTGTGTTCGTGAAAACTTGAGAAAGACGAATCGCCCCTCTTTCTCAATTGACGTTGATCCCGAAATCAATCATTCCTCGCCTTTTTACAGATCTGCGTGATAGTGTTCTCTTTTACATCGGACGCATTATTTGTCGTTTGAAATGAAACCGTATGATGACACCGACTGATGCTAAGGTAATGATAAACAATTTCCGGGTGTCGGAATTGCAAATGTTCTTGGCATTCGTTGGATTGAATAAGATTGGCCGCAAAGAAGACTTACTCACTCGTGCATTTCAAGTTGTCGACGGAAGAAATTTCAACGATCGCATCAAGTCCAAAATCAGGGAATTACACGACAGTGTTTGTGCGAATAATATAGCAAACATGAACATATCGAACGGCATTCCCTTGAGGTGAGAAGGAATAGCTTTTTGGATTTATTGATGCTTTCTTCTGCATTCATGTGTGACTCTATGCTGCGCATCGAAAGAACCTTTGTGTTGGGTTTGTCATACTATATTGAGCGTGCGCATTCTATCAAATCCTCTACGGTATTGTATCTTTAGGGGAATTGCACCAAATCTTGGTGGACCGAGAGCCCAAACGTTCTACTCCGCTGCTTTGCAGACCAGACAACAAGAGATGGGCATTGCTGCCCAGCATCAGATGGCCGTTCAAGACAAGCCACAAAAAATGATCGGGCTACCGTTTTTTGAAGTTCTTGAGAGTGTTCATCCTCCAACATTTCTGCAGGCAAACAATCCCGCCGTCAAGGTTCGTTTTTCCTGCCCTTCTTTAGCGAAGAATTGTTGAAGAAGCCATTATTATTTCAATTAGATTCAAGAGTCGAAGTATCAAGTTACTCTGAAAGCTGAAACAATAAATCGGATCACCGAAGTGCGTGATATTCGTCCCGGTGTGTTAGTGGATTACCCTGTTCAGTTGTTGCTTCGGTTCAGTCAGAAAACTCAAGTTGATCCTGCCCCAGATGCGTTTCCGACGCATTTCAATGTGAAATTCAATGGGAAAGCTGTTCAACTACCACAACCAGTTCCTGCTCACAGGTATGTAATTCGATATCCAGAGTGCAAGATGGGTGTGCAAACCACTACTGAGATATTATTCTTCATCAATCCTTCTGTGTTGGAAGTAAATGCAGAATGTTATCGAATCGGCATGGATATTTTGTTGACATGATTAAATTTCTTCCCACATCTCACGAAAATGATCGAAAAAATGTTCGACTCGCTTGAAAATGAGATTAGTGAAGCTTACCTTTCTTTCAACTTTTGCAGACAAGGGATGGAACCCAAGCGTCCGCCGAAGCCTGTGAACATCACTTCGAATGCGAGACTGGCCCCTTTAGTTCCAAATTTGTTGGAAATATCTTGGGGCCTTGAATTGGGAAAGAAGTATGCCTTCCAGATTGAGTTAGTGAGGAAGATTATGCCGGACGAGTTGCTGAATGTGGTGAAAAAACGATCAGTGATTTCGAAGGTCAGTTTTTTTTATTTTTTCATGAATCAATTTTCTTACAAAAAATTATGGGTTTCCCGGAAAATTATGTGGTGTCCCGCTTCTCGAACAGCTACCATCTTGAACCGAAAACTGTAGAAGAAGAAAAATATCGTAGACTCTTGCACGAATATTTTCAGAGGTACTGTACTATAATTGAATCCATTATTTGGATTTCAGATGATTATACAGTATGTAGTTTCGTATTGAACAGAAAATAAAATCAATGTCTTTATTTGAAGTCCTTAATGTTGAAATTTATTTGAGACCAACTTAAGCTTTCCAGCGTTTCTAATTTGGATCATGATATTTTCATTCCTTGATCTACTTTTCTATTTAATTTTTCAAAAATTGGATTAGAAAGCTTGATGTATGGAATTCCCGATAGGAGAGCGATGTAATCAAACTTCGTGGTACAGTATTCTAATTTTTTTTTTCATGTTCGTTTGCATTTTTATCATCATCGGTTTAAACCAATTCGGGCTACATCATGATTTTCTCAAAAAGAAAGCCGAAAAGTAATTTGGTTGAACTAATTTAATTCAAGTTCAACCAAATTACTTTACAACCAATTGGATTCGGAAGCATGAATTGAACTCAGGTCAAGATTGTTTTCTTTCTCATTTTTGGTTCAATTAACCATATTTTTTTTTTTACCACGTTTTTATGAACTCACTTTCTTGTCTGTCTGTTTGTCCAAGTTTACCTGATTCGCTCAAATATAGAAGGCGACTTACTAGGCTTTTAAAAAATCCGCCCGATCTGCTCGCCAAAGGTATTGAAATTAAAATTGAGATTGCAATGCAAATCACAATTTTTTTTAATGTTGAAACACTTGATCTAATTGTTTCAGGACTTGACGAAGCAGAGAATCCGAGAGATCCTGGTCGCCGACAATGATATTGCACCCGAATCGCTGAGGCTGAGTCTCAAGTGCCCCCTGGGTCAGAGTCGAGTTTCGTTGCCGTGTCGCGCATTCCCCTCGTGTCGCTCCCACGTGCAGTGTTTCGACGCTCAATTATTTTTGAGCATGAATGAGAGGAAGTCATCTTGGGTTTGTCCGGTCTGCAACAAGCCGATTCAGTTCTCAGAACTAGCCCTGGACGAGTACTTCTCCGAGATGCTCGCGTCGAACCTAACTGCCGACTGTGATGAGGTAAAAACGAATTCTGAGGCTAACTTCGGTCAAGACTTCCTTTTTTCCCTCATATACATTATGAGACTCTTCATCGTTAGACGCAGTTTTTTTATTTTTTGGCTTGTAAAAATGGCAAATTCAAATTTCACTTCCATGCTCGACCCCCTCGAAAACTTCGAAATCGTGTGCCTTTGAACTGGAATTGATAAAAAAAAATTGTGATTTGCATTGCAATCTCAATTTTAATTTCAATACCTTTGGCGAGCAGATCGGGCGGATTTTTTAAAAGCCTAGTAAGTCGCCTTCTATATTTGAGCGAATCAGGTAAACTACTTTTTTTGTGAGTACGAATCCTAAAGTGATCGTGTATTTTACAGTATTTGGTTGATGAATCGCGCGTACCTTTGCGTTCGTGAAGAAAACGTGAGACCCTGACCTTCGGATATCTGAAAAACATTTTCACCCTTCTGCTTGAATCGAATAATTTTTACTGATGCATTCGTCCAAATGTTTTTGTTCCGCGGTAAATCGTTTCAAGAAGTCATCACATGAATGTTCAGTATAACGATTCGCATTCCTTCTAGGTAATCTTGAATTCCGACGGAACTTTCGTTCCTGTGCCGCGTGAAGAGAAGGAGAAGAAAGGTCCCAGTACAAGTAAACAGGAAGCGAATGGCGACGCGGATTTGGTTTTATTATCTGACGAGGAAAATGAAGACCAAAATACGAAGCAAATTTTGGCTCCTCGTCCCGCGGCAGTGCAGCTTCCGCCAGCATCTCCTCCACCTCATCCTGCGGAGCCCGAAATCGTTACTATTGACATTGATGACTGAGCGCTTATAAGACCAATGATTTCTCTTTTTTCTTTTATCAAGAATTCTCCGCGAAGAATTTTCGTTTTCATCACCATTTTTCTGATGCCTTGTGGTGTCATGAGGAGTGAATTCATTTCCTGTGCTGTTCTATTGCGTGGCCAAACATAAAATGCGTAACTGACTTGACTGGACTATCCGGTATGTGATCGATCATAATGATTTTCAATGTCAACTGAACGTAGAAAACTCATGATACATTTTTTGTGCTTAAAATATGAGTACGTATTGTTTTGTGTGTAAAACATTTTCCCTGCATATGGTTCCTCATGATGGTTTCGAAGATGAACTCGGTATGCTAAAATTTTCTCGTAGCTGTCTCTTGTATTTCCAAGGATTTTGCTGAGGTTCACGATCAATAATCGTGTGTTTTACCGTGACTAAGAACAGTATGCAATAGTCTGTCATGCATTTATGAAGTTGGTCATGTATTCAAAAATTCTGCGACGTACATTCAGTCACTCTTCGATTCATCAATAGAAGGGCACCGTGATTACGTTTTAAAACAAAAGGAAACACTTTCTCAGGGATGTAAACGACCTCAAAATATGTTTCAAGTATGGCGAAGTTTTTCTGTCCTTCTGGCTGACCATGATGGCATCAAACGTGAACACTTTTAATAATTTACCTATGAGGAACTACTAATCGCTATGTGGATTTTGTTGCAGCTCATTATCAATGAATTTGTTTTGTGTCCAACTCTGAGTGTTTGGTGACACCCAACTCTGTTGGATCATGTAACAAAAGATTGTAAAATTCGTGCCCGTCACACGTCGGAAAATTGTCACGCACTAGAACAGCGCCCTTTTTCTTCGCGAAGATTTGAATTTGTAGCTGGATGTTTACTTCTGGCTACGAATGTTTATTTATTTTATACATTGCTGGAATGAAAGTTGAACAACCTCGTCTTTGGAAAAGTTTATTTCTTGTGGGGAAAGTCATACTGTACAGTACTTCCGAAATTTCTTTCATTTTTTGATTGACGAAAAGAGTATTCATACAATGACTCAACCTTTTTCGAAGTTGTGCTTCGCTACGAGGAAAACGTGTTGAAAACTGTCAGTCGCTCTGCGGGGTCTGAAAAGAATAATGGCTCCGTGGTCTAAGTGCCCGTGAAATACTTGGAATGCGGATGTTATTCTCCTGGAATCCGGAATTGATTGTTGTTTTCAAATCTCCGCAGTTATTCGAGATGTCCGCCAGCCCGAGTGAGAGTGATAATTATGGATACAAATTTTGGCGCGAGACGTTGCGAGGCGCGCGGTTGGTTGTGGCGCCGATGGTGGACGCCAGTGAGCTCGCGTGGCGGCTGCTCAGTCGCAAGTACGGAGCGGAGTTGTGCTACACGCCCATGTTCCACAGTGTCAACTTCGTCAAGGACTTCAAGTATCGCCGGGACAATTTCCAGTCGTGTGACGCAGACCGGCCTTTGATTGTTCAGGTACTGAAAAGGGTTTATTTATCTTTTTATGCAAAGCTGAATACAATACTCAGTTCTAATTATTTATTTTCTGGGCGAAATGATCATCCGTCAAACCCAAGCCTTATGAAGATTTTTGCTCAAACTTACTGTGCGTGACTTGATAGTCATAAATGCGGTGCAGTGTTCGTCTGCGTGTTACGTCTCAAGAATCACGTGATATCTGTTGAAATATTCCACGTTGTCGATCAATTTCATGCAGTAACACTTTTATAGCGTAAAGGAAATAAGATAGGGTGTGTGGAACAATTGGAATTGAAGAATTCTTGTCGCAAACGGTTTCAAGGAGGATTAAATTGAGACAGCTTTTGCTTTGGCTAATCAAGAATCCAGCGTCAATCTTGAAGACTCAGTGCATTCAATTGCATTGACCATTGACGTCAAATTATACATCGTAGTTATCACGAATTTTCCTAGCTTTATATTTTTTCCGAGTTGTTTCGTTTTCATGGCGTATGATTTTGATGCTTCTTTTCCAGTTTTGTGCGAATGATCCGAAAGTTTTGGTGGAAGCTGCGCGACTGGTGCAGGGACAATGCGATGCTGTTGATTTAAATCTTGGCTGTCCGCAAACAATCGCGAGAAGAGGCCACTATGGATCGTTTCTACAAGATGAATGGGACCTTGTTCGAGAACTCGGTGAGTGGCGCTCTTTGTCTTCCGATGCCACGTATTCTTGGGTCGAGGAAAGAATTCTGTGAGCTGATGAAGCTTTGAGAGATCAGTTCGAACTTCTTTCCTTCTTCAACCAGGCTGTATCAGAGCGACCAAAACTGCCACGATTTTTAAAAAATGTCTGGGTGTTTTGTGATCGAATGTGCGATAATTTTCACATGTTCTGTTACATATTTTTGTTTTGGGTTCTGAGTTTATTTACTCTGTTTTTCTCATGGATCGGAATTGTAAAATGTGGATTAGAGAAGATATTCCGGATACCAAAACTTCCTCGCATTTTGTTGACGCAATACTGGGTGTGTTTTCTGAAATGATCTTTTTTTTTTATCTCTTCAATTTCGTGTGGGTTTCAGGTGGAACTTTAGAGTATTCTGATAATTGTTCTCCGGAGTCGAAATTTTGAAGTGGGGAACAGCAGAGTATATATCTCTGGACCAAAAATTCCCAATTTTTATTTCCAGAAAGCGAGGTTGTGTTTTTAACTTTTTATTGATGTGATTTCTATGTTAATTCCTCTCATTGAATATTGTTGCTTGATTCGTCTTGTTCTTCCGTCAGTTGACAGCGTGCGCCGAGAGGTGGATATCCCGATAACCTGTAAAGTGCGAGTATTTCCGGAAATTGAGAAGACAGTTGCTTATGCGAAGATGCTGGAAAGTGCTGGTTGCTATCTGTTGACGGTGCATGGACGAACGAGGGAGCAGAAGGGAAGAGACACTGGGCTGGCTTCTTGGGCCCATATTAAGGCTGTGAAGTGAGTACTCGAAATTTATCACCGAATTTCGGTGTTATTCGTTCTTTTGGACAAATAACAGTGTGATGCTGGTCCGGAGTATGTTTGATATACATACTTTGGTACTCTCGTCTTTTTTGCATCTGCTACATTCAAGTTTTTGCTCGTATATACAAAGAATACATTTAAATAACCCTTCAGGCTTAAATAAGTTTATGGTTTAAAGTGGCAGAAATATGGCACAGTACTGTACATGTTTTTCGATAGATTACATTCTATTGTGTGACATGTGAGGCGCCCGACCGGTATCAAACCCAGTTGTGCGAAGCATTGTCTTTGACTTGGTTTTAAAATTTGTAATTCCTTTTCTGTCATGCAATACACATTTTTCTAAAAGATTATAAATAATTTCAGACAGGCTGTGAAAATACCGGTGTTTGCCAACGGAAATATTCAGTACCTGGAAGATGCCTTGAGGTGTATGGAGGAGACTGGTGTGGACGGGGTCATGAGTGCGGAGGGTAATTTGCACAATCCTGCCATTTTCGCGAATCGTTCTCCCGTGGTTTGGGAAATGGCTGAGGAGTATTTACAGCTAGTGAAGAAGCATCCTACCCCCATTTCATATGTGCGCGGACATCTTTTCAAGATGATGACTCATTGGTAAGGCAATAACAACGAATTAAATTCATTTCTTGGTTTATTTGTTGCTCATGATGAGATTAATATTCCGATTTATTTTCTTCATTTTTAAAATTTGGAATTTGAATCGACCTCTTTAATCCTTTAAAAACTCCACGTGGAGATACAGTATCATTCAAAAACCGATTTATAGATTTTATATTCTATTCTATTTAATGCCTGATGTGCAAGACATTCAGGCGATGGTTGAGTGAGCTGTTTGTTCCATGCTCAATGGGACGAATACACCAGGCAGGACGAATGCTTCTTTCTTTTGAATAAAGTTAAGATTAGGGAATCGTTTTTTACGAATGCATTTCCAAGACGGATATCTCACAATGATTGAGTATTTCAGAATCTTTCGCGTAATTATTTGAACTTCCGTAGCATGATGCTGCCGGAATGCAAGGAGAAGAGAGAGATCTTGGCGTCAGGAACGTCTTTGGTAGAATTCGAAGAAGTCGTCGCTGGTTTGAAGGACCTTTTCCTTCCTTATCACCACAAAGAAAAGGAATTCTTCGGCATGAATGAGAAACTACCGTTTCCGCCGTGGATCTGTCAACCGTATGTTCGACCACCTCCAAAACCAGTAGACGAATCCGGCGGCGTGAAAAGAATCACCGAGGACGAAAACGGCGACGTTGTCAAAAAACAGAAACGGAAAGGAAACAAACGGAAAAAACCGGATAGAATTGCTTTCGAACTTTGTGATGGAGAACGCTGCGGGAATCCGAGGGTGATTCATTTTTGCCTGTATCAATTTTTTATGCACGACAAATCTTCGCGATTCGTCTGAACTTGACGATTTTTGAATTTTTTGCAGGGTGGAAAATGCGACTTCAAATTGTGCAAGATTTGCTGTCGTGCCAAATGCAGTGACGAAGTTTTAGACTGTACCAGTCATCGAATATGGGTGAAAGCCTTCCGGGACAAAGAATTACCGCAATTGGAAAGCGATTGCCGATGACCGGGATCTTTTTTTTTATAAATAATTTATTAATTGAAGGATTAGAAGAGGATTATTTTTCGTTCGCCACGAAGTTAATTTTTATGAATCTGGTTCTTCATTTTTCTGAAGGAAACTGAATTCAGTGAGGGAAAGATCATTTTGAGAACTGACTTTTATTTTAAACGTCATAGCGTTGATTTTTTATGAGAGCGTGTCGCTTGATCGTACCCTGTTTTCTCCAAAAATGTGGTTTTCGAATTTCACAGAAGGACATTCAACCTTTTCTTCGTTTTTTTTTTCTGAGTGTGCAAATTCCTGTACGTACTCTTTCGTGAAGTGAAACCGTGGGAGTACCACTTGCTTTGGCAAGTCCATGGTCAAGAAAGGAAAATCATGCCCTCGTTGTGATCGCAGTGGCGTGAAGGATTTTGAAATTTGTGTTGATAATTTTTTTCATTACTCCGTAGAAAAATTTATGTTGAGGAAAGAACAAGTGATCCTTCACCCTCGCGCGGGGGAAAAATACCGTAATGGCGAGGATGATTCCAGGGTAAGAGTTGTGCCAGTGTTTGAGCCAACTATGTCTTCCTGGGTCGCCTCAGTACAGCAGAAACGAAATGGGCATGTGACTCGCATCAACGTTGACCCGGTAAGTCAATCTCAAGATTCATATATTTGTGATGGTCTACTATTTGACTGAAGACTGAATTTAGTGTCCAACTAATTTAAGAGTATGTTTCATGTTAATTCTGCTGAAAAGAACCTTCTAGTGGAAAGTGTCCTACCTGTGCACGTTTTCTGCAGCTATAATCGTCAAAATGAATTTTCATACCAAGAAAAGTAATTTTAAAAGAGCTGTCAATGGATGAATGTCAACTAGTACAAGAAGTACAGTTATTCCGAGTGTGATGAATGTTTCAAGGTTTTTGACTGATCCGGGTTTAATGACTTCGTTCAGATGTTTAAAATGCGTTGATGCGACCTCTACCTGCGCGGAAAGAAACATCGGCAGTGTAATTTTGAAAGCCCGATAGCAAAGATCATTACCGTACTAAAATTTGCAATAGCTAACCATTCTTCCAGCAAAATGTTCATGAATGTGAATGAACGATTCAATTCCCTCAGCATCAACCGATGGGACTGGCGACTCCTCAGAGGAAAGCTAGATTACTGGACCAGGTTCAGCTGTTGTCCTCTGGCGAAGAAACTCGGGATGCCCTGGACGAGAAGAGGAACTTTGAGTATGCCATAGAAGACTTCTTGTCCGTCACACCGCACGAGTCGAAGTTCAGTTTCCCCGTGATAGCTGAAATGTTTGGAGCCGGTCTTAGAAGAGAGGAATTCAATGGATCAAAGTTCACTTCGGCTTGGGAACAGTTATCCAAGTACGCCATGAATTTGCTGTCCCGACCTTGGAGAACGGAGTACCGAACACTGAAGGTAGATTTATTTGATTTTTGTTGTTGTAATGGAGCGATTTTTTGAAACTGAATAATATTTCTGCAGATGTATTCGGGATTTTTCAAGCACTACGTGGAGACGCAAATACCGGATGCTTATAAAATATTTGAAATACTCGGCTACGTTGCGGTTCCCGGGGAGCAGAGATGCGTTTGGAAGTTGAATGGTCCAATTGATCCCGATTACGTTATTGCTGCTTACTTGGACTGCGTCATTGCCATGGTAGAGTGCAGGGTAAGTTATGAAAACCGTTTCAATCTCCGTATATGACCTCTGATGAAAGCGGATTGTTTTCCTTAAGACAATTTCTATCGCAAAATTAGTCGGTAAAACGAAATACGTGCGATAGGTTTTTTCGTGGCTTTCAGGCCGGTTCGTCTCAAAAGGAATTTTTTTTCTGGAACGTTACGGTTTGACAGATTTAATTTAATTTTATGTTCTGAAGCGTGAAAGTATAGCAAAAAACGAGGTAAACATTTTAAAACTCGATGGATAACGTAAAAAAAAGGTTTCATCCACTGTGAAAACAGAGTAGCCCATCAATTTAGCCTCATATTATTCGACTGGAAGACTTTTTTGATATTAGCTCCCCTGTAAAACAAGACACAAATTCTCAGAGCTGCTTGTGGTATCTTACTCCATGATTTAAATTCTTGAAAATCGAATGATGAAGTTTGTGAAAAGACCGTGTATCAGAAGAAGGCAAATCCGCTGTTAATTTCTCAAATTTTTAATTAAATCCCGTAGATGATGATGCAAATAGTGGAAAGCGTAAAAGACCTACGGTATCCTTGGAGTGACGTGATGAGCATTCGAGAAAGATACGTTTGCGGGGTCGAAGAAGCTTCAAGGATTGTCCGGCACGAAGTTCGAGAAGAACAGGCTTCTTCTCGTCGCCTTCCTGAGCCTCCTTTCTACCGCGGCACTGTTTTCCACAACCCGAACTTCGATTTCGAACCCACCACGGGGGTTCTGGTCGACCTGCATTCCCCGCCCGCGGTGCCGAGTGAAGTGCGGAAAACCCCTAAATTCCCGGTGGAGCCCGAAGATAACACTTGGGGCTATTCCTACGAATCCGTGCGAAGAAAACCGGCCAAAAAACTGCCCAAGCCTTCTTCGGACGTTGTCTCTGCGCTCAAGTCACTCAAATTCTCTTCCGATCAAACCGATGGCAAGAAGTCTTCTGCAGGGAAATGGTCTTGTCACGCGTGCACTTACTTGAATCCCCCGGAAACGGACATTTGCTCCATGTGTTCCAAGTCGTGTGTGAAGGGAGCTGAAGAGAAGCCTTTGAGTGTTGGTGGGAAGGAATGTTTGCGGTGCACGTATGTGAACGATAGGTACGTGGACAAGTGTGTGATTTGTCAGGATAGCTTGCTGAATTGCCCGACTTATACGTGAGTTTTTCGGCTCCTGCTGAAAAAAAGAAATGGCCAAAGTTTCGCGCGCACAATAGTGGTGGAATGGGTTTTGTTTTCCTTCTGGCTGTGACGATATCCACTACGGTACTCTTGCAAATCCGAAGTTTTTTTTTAATGTTTATCTTGTGATTTGATTTTTGATTTTCGGACAAGAACGGTCAGCTGTGATGATGACGCGATTATTGCTATCCGCGTTACATGTCTTATCTTATCGTGTTCCCCTGAAAATATGGCGCATTTCCGGATACACTCAAATATTCCTTTTTCGATAATATTAGCACGCAAAATGTCAGGGTGAATTTAAGTTACGAAAGTGTTGGACCCACGGGAGAAGCTCAGGAATCTTTTGGACTAGAGTATTAAAACCTTCTATGAGGGAGTTGGGTTCAAAATTAAATTTTTGAAAGTATTTCAACTTTTTCCCCATCTCTTGCACGAGAGTTCAGAGTCTTGAAATGTTTGAGGCGACCGAACTGTTGACAGATGTCCTGATTCTGAGAAAATTGTTTTAGATTTGATGAATATGCGTGTTACACTCGCAGGCAAACTTTTAATTTCAGTTCCTAAAGCACAAGGAATAGGAATGCGTCTTAATTATTATCTGCCGCAACGTTTCTTGGAGTAATGTACGTTAATGGAAGGAAGGAGCTTAGTTTTGTGGTGTTGGTGTGTACCGTAAACATTTTTTAGTTTGGATTTGGTGCAAAGAAATTCGATAGTTTTATTCTGTCGTTTATCCTGATTTGACTTTAATCTTATTTTATTATTCTATTGGTACGACAGAATACGTATTGACTCGCGTGCAGAAAAAATTTTGGAAGTCCCACCGGAGGGAAGTTCATCGTATTTTTAACATCGGCATTTTGCTTGTTCCCAGTTACAGTATAGTACTTCTAATCTGACCATAGCCTAGGCTACTTCAGAATAGGGAAAGAGTGGAATATTTGTAGGAAAGAATGTCAGTGAAGCATCTCAGAACAGTCATGGAGGTTATTAAACGTTAAGAACATTTTTTGAAGTGCATGAAATATTTTTCTCTGTCCGAAGGCGTATTTTAGTGGGCTTTCGGTAAGACTTTGTTTTTCTGATTTCCCTTTACATTATCGAAATTTCAAGTTGAAAGTGGGTTTAGGCGAAATTCCCTGACTTGTTTGTTGCTCAAATAACTGTGTGATCAATCGGTTAAATGAATGTTACATTATGCTGCTTATTATTAGATGCAAAAGTCATATTTTGAGGGAAACACGGAACTCATGCCTCAACTTCATCCGCCTATTCTTGAGCTTCTTCGGGATATTTTAGCATTCTTCTTCGGATTAGTTCGAAAAGTGTACCGATTGGGTTTACCGTGATGTTTCGATTTTTTTGCGGGATTTGGCTGGATGTTGGCATGATCGCAATGACTGCTTTCAATTTGTGCCTAAAAGGATTTTTAGCGTGAACTGCTCTTGAATTTTGAATGGATGAAGAGGAAGACTTGTCATTCCGTGAAAGTATTGAAAGTTTTTTTTTTCGTATGTTCGCGAAGAACTAATCAGACGTTTATGAAAATGGAGACACTTCAGGCTGTTCGCATGCTTGTTCTTGCGCAGAAATGTGATTACGCATGTGCTTGGGTTGAAATTACTATGTAATGTTGATCTTTGGTAGTATTGTTACTCATGTGAGAATAAATAATACACTGAGCTGTAAATCCACTCTCTTGCGGTTTCCAGCGTTCGTTTAAAATTTATTCACGCATGCACGAGATTGTTGGAAAATTAACCATTTATTTCATTTATTTTATTTTCGTAGAGAATCTTTCCCAACGGTAGTGTTGCCAATATGAAGCGTTGCACATCAAAACGAAGTTTCAAACTGCGAGGTGAGTCCTTATTGTCATCTTATCGAAAAGCCACGCAGGGAAAGATTTACTGCGATAATTTCGAATCGAAATTGAGTAACACATCTGGAAAACCCTTTTGATTTCACTGGTTTGATGCGCAGCGGAAATAAAATTGAGGTCGGATTCCAATCGAGAAGATTCATGAGAATGGGTTGATATTCCCTTTTTTTTAATTTTTTATCGTTGCATTTTTGTGTTCTGAAATATTCCCAGACGCTCCCATATCTTTCTGGTTGCATCATCCTTTAATGTTGATTTTTCCCTGGAAAATATTTTTTTCGACACCATGTTCTTTTTTAAATGAGAAAGCGAAAAAGTCTCAATCTTATTTTTTAGTTTCTGTCCGGTTTTTTTTAAGCCCGGATTGATGGGGTTATCATTAAATGCTTATATATAGTTTATGGAAGATTGCATTTTTGACAGGTTTCGTGGAAACTTGATTCCGTGTCAGGGAATTTTTATGCCTGGAGAAATAAATTTCGATATTTAATTCAAAGTTACTCGGAATGTTTTGTCTGTTTGATTTGTCCTTCAATTACTGTATACAGAGTACTGTATTTACTCAAGTACCACGTGCCCTCAAGTAAGGCGCGCACAGAGGTTTTTCAGTTGGAAAGTCTGCTAAAACCTTATACCTGAGTAAGACGTGCACCCTAATTTTTAGTGAATCTAAATCCAAAAAATTTTGAAAATAACAACAACAAATTCAACTTCAGACATGAATTGAAAACAAATCTGATCAATTTCAACTTTTTCAGTACAGTATAAGCAAGTTTTCTCAGTACATTTGTTCCAAATTTCTTTATTATAATTATGTATAATGCACACATAACTTTCTGAGACTTCTTGAAAACTTCGTACCTGCTTATGATGTGCACCCCCTTTTTTTCTTCTGAAATTTGAGAAAAAAGGTGCGTGTGGTACTTGAGTAAATACAGTACTTGTATACTGCAAGCAAATTTTTCTAGCTATCCAATAGGCCAAAATATTGGGTGCAAGTACAAAATTTGCAAAGCTCTCTCAATCTAGGTGCGCCATGATTCTATATGTACTGGATTGTTGAATTTGACCAAAAAGCTACAAATATACATATTTTTAAATTTAACAAGAAAATGTTTTTGCTTTGCATTTGCCATTTTTAATCCCATAATTTTATATGTACATTTCAATATTGCATTCATTGTGAACCAAAAACAGGGGGATTGTCTTACAAAGGGACACATTTTTGCAAGGATTTTCTCGTGCAAAATGAAGGTGTGCTCTTGCTTGATTATATACAGTATGTGTTCATTGTAAAGCAATCAAAAAATTATTCTAATTTTTCTCCAGACGTGAGAAATTAACCCCATTTTCAGAGGAATTGGAATTGTTAACCCCAAATTGATGCTTTTTTTTCAATAATCCCCAGACCTAATTTTTCTTGTCTTTGTTTATTTTCGAAGCTCTGCAGAATAATTGTATGCTGATGAAAAATTTTTTGAAAATATGGAAAAGAAGAAATTTAAACGATGATTACTGTTGATGGAGTTTTTGTCAATATATCTTGAGAATTTTTATTTTAAAATCTTAGCCATATCAAAAATTAGTTCTTCCTTGGCTTTTAAAATGTTAGCCAGTTAGGCACAATGTCAAATTCGAATTGTGGTTTCCTCTTGTCACGATTTATTTTCAAAGCTTGAAATGGTGAACGTGAATTTTCGAAAATCTCGACGAAAAAGGAATTGGTACTGATGAATAATGTAATATTGATTTTATTAGACTGGTGAATTTTTCCTGTGAAATGATCGACAAAAGTGGATTCTGCCCCAAGTTATAAATGTTCAGTTTTTTAAACGCGATGGAAAGCTGAGATTGTGCTGGTTTCCCTTTTTCTGGAACACTGATGGATAATCAGAAGGACCAGGATTTCCTTCTGTTTGTGGAGCCACAAAATGTACGTTCACCATAAGCGGGGAGTCATAAGGAAATAAAATGCTGCGAGAAGTTCATGGGGAAAAGTTTCTTTCACAACTTTCCCTGCATTTCATTATCGGAGCAAAATGGGATTCTTTCGAGAAATCTTTGCAGAGGAGTGTTATTATTGATTCGGTTCTCAGTTCAATACAATGTTCCATGCGTGTGTTTTCTTGATGAAAAAAAAAATGAACCGTATTCTCTCACTGAGTGCACGTGTATACAAAAACAAGGCCGGAAATTTGTCAAAGGTAGAGGCGGAGTTCATTCAGCAGGAAGGACGAATGCTCTGAAGTGTGGCTAAACTTGCATTATAGAAATGGCATTATTTCAGATAATAACCCTGACACATACTGCTCATTGTCTCACTTCAACATGCAAGTGAATCAATCAGATATGTGTTGATGATGAGTCTCTTATTTGCTGGTCAACCAAAACACTGTCTCCATAGTATATATACTGTATAATATACTTGATGCACTCACTGGCAAGGAACCCCATTTTTTAATGGTCCACTGTATGTTGAGGTGAATGTGTTGTGTTGAGCAACTTGTGGAAAACTTTGAAGCAAACCCTTATTGCTTAAAATGTTTCTCTTGCACATTCTTCAAGTCCTCTGGATCAGTGTAGGGGGAGGGTATGTGGGAATGTGAGGGAAATTGGCTACTGCAAACACCACCTGCCTATCCTGCCATATGCAAATCAATGGAAAAAGAATGACTCTCGCACTTTTTTCCTTCCCAGTGCTCCAAGAGCATAGAAATGGAGACCATCCCCAACATTCTTCAAGTAAGTGCTTTATGCATACATAGTGTCAGTCATTTATTCCCTGGAAATATTTACTGTTTTTACTCAAGTACCAGCACTTTACCACATGCACCTTTTCATCAATGCAGAAAAGTGGTGCTCTTGTGGTGTATTCAGTTGTACATTTTTTTTTTTAAAGAAAGCAACATGAAACCATGATGGTGCAAGTCATGAGTGAACCTCTGTGTAGGTGAAAATGATTAACAGGGAAGTATGTGTGCCACCAATCCTGTTAGAGTGTATTTTTCCCTATCTTATTTAATTTAATAACAAGCTCATATTTTTTTTTACACATATATACTTTTAAACTTCAGTGTGGCAATTTTCAACCATTCAAGTAGAACAGGGATGCAGGTCTTAACTGCGGGTAAGTTTTTGGGGAAATCAAGTGTAAAAAAAAAATCAATGTGTTTCTTACACTTGAGGGCATGTGGTATACTTGGGTAAATATGGGAATAGGAAGATAAGTTCTGGCAAATGAGCCCTACACATGCAAGTCAGACACATTTTATAAGTTTTTTTAAACTTCTAACCCCTATTCTTTCATTTAATTGCAAGACTATTTTGTTACAAATGTCAACTTGTAAAATACAATGTGTCAACAACAAAGAACAGGGGTGCAGGTCTTACCTGTGGGTATTTGGGGGGGGGGGGAATCCACAAAATCAGTGTGTTTCTTATACTTGAGGGCATGTGGTATACTTGGGTAGATATGGTAATCTGAAGATCACTTTATTGTTTTAAATTAGCCCTGCATGCATGTTAGACATTTTAGGAAAAGTATTGGCTGACCATTTCAGACATTCATGAAGCCAGTTAACATATATCAGCTATTGAATAAAACTCGCTTCTGCAATTACCTTGAGGATAATTTTTACAAATAAGTTTCAGTATGTTTTGGAAAAAGGACACAGGGATTTTCGAGGAACATCTTGCTCTGATTTTTGAATAGTGGTGGCTCACTTGGATGCTGGTGGCAACTGTGGCAATAGCAGTGACTGGTGTGAGTGCACAAGCTGACATCAATGCGATGCGGATGCAAAATGCTGAGGCCTGCGTTCAAAACTTGGTGCAGAAGTGTTCGTCCAGTGACCGTGACTTGTACAAAATTGATCCTCAATTAGCTGAGGCAAGGATCAGGCAGGAAGCCTGTGCCAAGGAACTTGGTGATTCTGGATGGGTCAAGCAGATGAGCAAGGATGATGTCATGGTTGGGCATGGACAATCATGTCGCAGTTGTGCCAGCAATCGAGCACAGGTGTGTGGACTTTTTCTCTGTATTTTTCTTCAAAGTTCCCAGCAAGATTCGCTGAAGCTTTTCTTCACTTCTATAGGATGCAATACAAAATAGTTTAAGCAGATAAGGTTCCAGTGTTGATTTATGTTGAATGTGACAATTGTTGTGATATGGTATCAAGGTTTGTCTTGCAGTGGCACTATCAATTATTTCAATATCTCTCTTTAAAAGTTCTCACATGGAAATGTATCAATACAGGAAACATAATTTTTATGCACTGCAATATCTCTCTTAAAAAATTCTCACATGGAAATATGTCAATACAGGAAACATAATTTTTATGCACTGTCCTTGAAATATTCTTTTGCAATTGTGGAACAGCCCTGCCAATGGAATTGCTCAATAAAATATAAATTCAGAACTCCAGTTGCTTTGTTATCTATACTTCCTGTAGCCTAAACTCACTCAGTCTCAAATTACACATGCTGTACATAAAACTAAGCTATTTTTGCAGATTATTCTGTATTATGCTGAAATGTAATTGCTTGAAATCATATGGCTGAAAAATGTATGTACCATATGTAAAAATCTACAGTAATACAATCTTGTTGTAAAAAATCTGTGTAAAATAATATTTTTTAAAGTAGATCCTAAGGCATATGCATAATGTTGTTTGAGTTTTGATGCAACACATCTTTATTATAACAAAGCATTTTCCAGATCCCAGTGATTTTTTTTCTTCTAAGATTGTAGTTTATTATCTTTGAACAGGATATGTTGACAAATCTGGCATTGTGCTTGGGAAGAAGTAACATCAACTGCTGTTCCTGCTTGTTCCATGTGAAACCTCCACCAGAAGCTGCGCATTTTCTGTCTCAACAGCAAGTGCAATCTGGTAAATCGGAACTGAACCGCAGAGATGTGGATCTGAATGAACTTGTGGCAAAGGTTAATAGGCAAAACCATCATGAACAGCCTGAAGGCATACCTCCTGGTGATGCTGATCAAATAATAGCAGAGGCTGTCAAACAAGGTATTCAATCTGCTCTGGGCACTTTGAATCAATCTGAAATAAGGATGGGGTCCCAAATGTCGGACTCAATGGTGTCCCAGATTGCAAAGCAACTGAACTTTGGCACCCAGGAACAGCAGCCTGTCAACCCATCAGCTGCTTCAGATTTGGCTAAATTGCAGGAATTATTTTCTCCTCAGGGACTACCTGCTGCTCAGCCTTTAGCCTTCCATGAACAACGTGCCCCTCCATTGAACAACAGGGGAATAGACTCTGGCCAGCCTGCTGAAAATCCTGTACCATTGAACTTTGATGATCTCATGAAAGGCTTTTTAATGGATCCAGGTGCGATTCAAGAACAGCCTGAGGAAAGCAAATTAACAACTGAGGAACCTATTTCTCCTGGCCTTGATTTGTCTTCTATTCTGGGAATGCTGGATGCTCAAGGAGATACATCAGAAGTTGATACTTCTCCTGTTTTAGTGCCTGACCTGGCAGCAGACATTTTGAAAAATGTAGATGTTTCCCCATTTCTGCAACCTGCTTCCGAGGATTTACCAGCTGAGAGTGATGCCAAGCCCACTGAAAAACCTGTCAAAGATCAAATGCCTGATTTATCCTCACTTCTTAACTTTGGTGATAGGACCCATGGCAAAATTACTGGAGAATCAAATAAATCATCTACTGACATTGGATCCAAAATGATTCCTGCTCCAGAAAATTCCTTGGACTCAGCCCCTCTGATGAGAAATGGTTCATTAGAAAACTCTGAGCCAAGCACGGCAAAGAGTACAACTTCATCAACTTCCAAAACCAGTGCTATCACTGTAACAACTAGGTTACCAAGAGAAACAAAAGATAATAAAAGTGATGGACTTTCCAGCACAAACAAGCCAGCATCAGAGGATATTGCTCATGAAGCTCTGGACATCTTGAAAAAACTGGGAGCAAACTCGGGAAATATATCTCAGGAAGATATCCAGAAGGTTGTCAACAAGTTAGAATCTGCCAAGCCAGAGCTCAAGTCTACAACTGATGGAAATCGTCTTGAGACAACAGTGCAAATGACAACCAGGACAGCCAAAATCCCAATTTCTACAAAAGCCAAGGATATGGGGTCAACTAAAAAAGAAAGCGCAGAAGACATTTCAGAAGAAGAGGTTGTGACTGTAATTGAATATGTTACTGATGAGCCTGAGGCAGAAATGAAGCCCTATAAAAAAGCCAAGGATCATCATAAACAAGAAGACTTCAGTGTTGAAGATATTGCAAAAGAAGCTGCTGATGAGCGCTTTGCCACATGGCCACCACCAGCTCAAGATGACCCAAACACTGCTGATGAAACCATAGTTGTCAAAACAAGATCCCCATTGATAACTGGTGAAGCTGGTGAAATCCTCAATGAAGTTCTCAAAATTCCATTTGACAAAAGCTTAGCAGCCAACATTGGCAAGTCACCATTTTCACCCCAGAAGGTCAGGCTGAATGCAGGCTACAAGAACCCACCAAAGCCAAGGATTAACACTCTTAAGGCTCTTGCTAATTCAAACAAGGCAAAGTTGGCAGCATCTCAGGCAGCAGAGGATGTTGTTCAAGATCTGCAAAATGGTAACAGTTACATTAAAGGTGCACTTGGAGACCATAGCCATCCCAAGAAGCCTTCTTCAACCTCTGTAACAAGAGGGAAGGTGAATATTTTTCTGTTTTGAACTCCTCAGTGATCATCACTATATAGTGATGATTTAAATGTAAACTGCTGCAGACAGGTATGACCAACTTCTCTGTACTGAAATCATATACAGTAGCACCTTTGATAAAAAACCATTGCTTGAACTCAAATCAATATTGCAGTTCAAAATTACCTAAATATACAGTTCATTAAATCATCCTGCAATATTTAATCATCTGAATTGCCATGTTCATATGCTCATAATAAGTTACTGCTGTCCAGCCTCCTATGTATCCTACAAGCATTTTTTTCAAGGAGAAAGGGAAATTGTGTTCTGCTAAAATGCCAAATACAACCATAAGTTCAAGGAAAATGTCTTCAAAGTCCTGATTTTCTAAGTAAAAATTATGATGCGCATTTACATGAAGATACTTGGCGCGCAAGTTAGCGCAGCAGTAAACAAATTAAAGCTACAATATAATTTAATTCAGACTAATCAGAAATATATGTGGGTGTATAGTTAGGGGTTATTCAAATGATTTGGCATTTAAGAGCCAAAATACTGCTGTATGATGAGTTATGTACTGCTGTGTATACGAGCAGAAGATGCATCATCAAATAATCTCTACTTCTGATCAAGTTGACGCAACATTTTTGAATCTTCCATTTGTGCATATTTTTTTGCACATCATGACCACTAATTAAGGTGGAAGGCACAGAATCTTCTGATTGAGACACAGCCTGCTAGTTTCAACGCAATACCTGTGCATTTTATTGACAAAACCGAAAAATCTAAGCTTTTATCTTGGGAGAAAATTTTTGTGAAAGATGTTTTAAAACATGCTCATGCTAAATAATTTGCATTATGTAAAACGCCTTTACACTTGAGTTATGATTGAAAAATTCAATCCGTTCCAGACTCACAAAATTACCATGGAAAACTATACTTCAGAAACTTAATGACCTTGTGAACTTTATATTTTGTCATTATAAATGCAAAGTAAAATTCCAGCTGTTATTTTTATAGAATTTACGAAATTTTATGACAGAGGTATATGCCCTATTGCCCTTGTTTTCTCTTCTGTCTTGGTTAAGAAAAAAATTCTAGTTTTAGCTCAAATTCACTACAGTTAATCTGAATGAATGATCATAATATGCATTTTGGGCAACAAATATGATTATGCAGAACATTTTTGTTGCATGCATTGAAAATGTTCACAGAAATTTGTATGGGCAAAGTATTTCTTTCTGCCAAAATTTGGAATATGTGATATATGCACTAATCCAAGTACTGTATTACTGATGGACTTCATAGGGGGGGGGGGACTGTTCAAATTTTTTCCATTTTTGAAGTTCTATTGTACCTTCTTCTGTTTAATTGAATATTGTACTATATTTTCCAATGACTGATGAATTTGTGACTTTCAATGATGTCTTTTTTTTCAAGATTGGCAAGCCATCAAGAACCCGCTTGGAGGGCAAGTCCCTGTCCTGGAATCGTCACAAAGAACCAGCTGCTCCAGCACCAGCACCCGCACCCGCAGATGACACTATGAACTCTGCAGAGTCCTCAGCTGGTGCAGAAGATGTCCAAGCACCACCACCACCGCCACACCAGCATCGTGGTCAAGATCTCCCCCCTGCAGATCGCCGTAGTAGACCACAAGATGACCATCACCATCCAAAAGATGAAGACCCTGAAGCGGATTACTTTGAACGCGTTGCTGATCCTTCTGATCCACCAGCACAATCCCAATCAGATTATGACCATCAAGGTCCACCATCTCAGGACAAGCAGCATGATTATGACCGCAGTGCACCTAGCGATAACAGTGGGGAGCAGCAGCCAGCAGGTTATGATGGTAACCCGGATTTTGACTATAGCAATAACCATGCCCCAAGAGGGAAACCCAAGCATCATCATAGAGTATATGGAAATTATGATCACTCCAAGAAACGATTCAAGCGAGAAGATGGGAAAACAAGTACTGGTTCCAGTAGCAGCTCAGCCACAACAACAAGGGCTTCCACATGGAAGACCACTGAAGCATCCTGGCAAACCATTCTGGATGACTTGGATGCTGGAAACTTTTCCAATAATGGATCCCATTCATTTGAGCCCTTCAGTTCCTTTGACTCTAATGGAACCAAGCATAATTTAATGTCAGTTTTGAATGGCACTGTGGCTGGTACAACATTGTCAACAACTGTTTCCACCACTGCTACTTTCTCAGTTGTAGTTGCAGATAGCCATAAAAATACAACAACAAGGAATAGGTAATGAGTTCCTGCTTTTTATTTACCTATTGGGCAACAGATTCTTATGCTTTTTATGATTGCAATGGCAGGATTTTTTTGAAAAGACACACAATTAATTTATTAAAATTAAGATGCTTGTATAGAGGTGATGTTGGAATTTATCCTGGTTGGGTACTTATATAAACGTGTTCTGCCCAACATTGGAGAGCTTGGATCAGTCTGTATGAAAGGAAAAGCACAGAAGTATATGAAGTGAAACATATGAATTTAGAATGTATGCACTGAAAGAAACCATTTTGTATGTCACTCTCAGAAACTGATGCTTTTCTTGAAGTTATTTGTTTCTCTAAAAGTTGCCATGGGTTCTCAAAGGTATGCTGCATTCTGCTTCTGGTTAACTAAGTAAAAGGGCATGGAAGCTTATTATATTCAAATATTTGTCCACAGTATTGGACACGCACCACTTTTTCAAGACAGCTAGCAGATGAACATCATCAGTAAATGAAAATTTGATTTTTGTATAAATAAGTTACAGTGTGTTTTTTCTGCTCAACTATAGTTTTCAACAGGTAAAATCATGCAAACATGGAATTGTGGGGACAACAACCATAAATTCATTTTCTGGCTTTCAGAGATGGCAAAAGTTTTCTGCTGCCTTTATATACAGTATATGGAATAATAAGAGAGCTTCCGAACAAGAGCTGAAGATACCGCTGAATTAAAGAACTTGTCGAGTGCTTCATATATGATCCCCGGAAAGTAATTTCAATTACTTGCACCATACTGTTTGATACAATCTTGTTTCAATGGGTGATCTTGGCTTGTAATCCTTGATGCATTAAAACATACGAGGGAATCATAATAAGAGCAAGCTTTGCCTTGCATTTCGCATCTCACCTCACAGAAATGATTGCTTTGGAATTTCCTGAAAATTTGGGCACTTGGCAAAGAAAGTACAATGTGCAAATGTCCATGGAACTTAAAATTAACACAGCACCACAGAAAATTTTCGAAATTCAGTTTCTTGAAATACACCCGTGGTTAAGGCCCTGTTATCATGCCCAAAAAGTAAATCACAGACTGAAATATGACACATCAAGCTGAAAATCCCACCATCCACTCAGATTATGCCAATCCAATGCAAAAATCACAGACATGTTGCACTGGCCCAATGGTTTTTAGAAGGAATCTGTAGTCTGCGTAATCACCCCTGACACAAACCAGTAGAAGGCGAAACAGATCCCAATCGTCCCGAGCACGGCAACACAGAAACCAGCAGAATACGTCTGTTAATGACAAACTGAATTAGAATTGTTCAAGTAACTTATCTAAAAGCTAAATATACAGACGGAATTTCAGAAGTCAAATACTAACGGTGTTGACGAATAAAGAATGTTCCTTGTCTAGCCTTTTCGATGGCTTTGCACCTCGCATCGCAGCTTTTCTGTTGTTTTCCCCTGAATGACACGATAAGCGTATTTCAGCTGAGTAACAGAATAAAGCTCTTGGTCTCACCGATGCTCTCCCTGTACCTGGCTACTGGGGGAGCCTTCATTCCCTGGAAATTTCCTTTTCCGCCCATGGCTGACACCTGGAACAGGAGGTGGACGAAGAATAGCCTGCTACAATTAGATATTAAAATTACAAGGCATCGCCATGACACTTTTCGAAAAGTGTTTTACACAGAGCCCTCTGAACTCCTACACCACCCGCTGCTATGCACCGATGCGGGTCGTGAATTTACTGTGCCTGCGTTTACGTTTACAATCTAGCTAAAGAAAATACGTTCCTGCTATTCTCTTGTACACACTCATCCAACCAAACCACTTACTGAATGTAACTAGAAAATTTAGCAGGAACAATCTTCTATCATGTTTGAACTCATCACAATTATTTTCGCACGCATTTTGTGCCATCATAGTCTGTACAAGGCCTCCAGTGAAAATATATTTCCGCAGAATGAAATACAGTACAGTACAGTATTTACCTCGGCCAAAGTGAACGCCGCTGTAAGTATCACCATGAAATGAACTTTCCTTTGAATTCCGTGGAATGAATCACCGCCGGTGTGAAAGCCCACCGACGAACTTCGACATTCGGAACAGACCCGTCGGACGGGTGAAGTATTGTCATCAGTAATTGGCGAATGGTGACGTTTTTGGTTGCGTGAATGAGCATTATTTTCGGAGAGTTTTGTTCAAACCCGACCTGTGTATGCTTCGAATGTTCCGTCGGATCGCTTAGGTTCGATGAATTCAAACGTTCGTTCCACATGTGTCCATTACCTTAGGAATTATTCGTTAAGCATTCGAAACGCTTCCAGCATGCGTGGCGTGGTTCTTGGATTTTATAAGATTGATGGCAGTCACACGCTAACGCCTGCCGCTGCTCGATTTGATGTAAAGCATGGGTCCAAACTCGCCAACTATTTAAGCCTGTGAGCATGATTTTCTTCTTAAATATGCGATGAAAAGAACGTTAAGGAATGTTCAACTTCAGGCCCCAAGCTGCATTGATCAAGGAAGGGAAAAATCGCATCCTGTGGAACTTCTCGGATCAGTACGATGCTGTTGCATTGGCGTGCATCGGAAAGAAAGATCGGGAAGTTGACGAAATCGAGCAGAGACATGCACAGAAAGAAGCAGTCCGAATCGCCGCTGCGGGTTTGTGTTAATTCCGTTCGAGTTCTTGAAATAAATTACTGTTTGGGGAACATTCTTCGATTCCAGGTGGATGTCGAGCTTTGTGGGAAGGAGGCAGCAAGTCTTTCAAAACTCTCGAAGTGGACGTTATGGAAGATCCAGAAGCCGCTGCAGAAGCAGTTCATCTTGCCTTATGGTCCTTCGATACTCTCAAGCAGTCGAAAGTACCAATGCCGGAGATTTCTCCCCTGTCAAGGTTTGTCGGCGTTCTACGTAAAAGTTTTCAGCGGATGAAAAGTCTTTCCTTCTTCGTATACAGCGAAGATGCGGGTTCATGGAATCGGGGAAAAATTACAGCGGAGTGCCAAAATTTCGCAAGATATCTTTCTGAAATGCCTGCCAATCTCATGACGCCGACGGTTGTTGCAAAGGAAGCAAAAGCAGTATTAGAACCCTTAGGGGTGACAGTGAATGCTCATGACCATGCCTGGGCGAAAGCTGAGAAGATGGGGAGTTTTCTAAGCGTTGCAACCGGTAGTTCCCAGCCTCCGGTTTTCCTCGAAATGATTTATCAGAAAGGAAATGCGAAGGATGCCCCCATTGTCTTGGTTGGTGAGTACCGTAATATTTTGGATTAAATCGAAGTGAATGCTGCAACCAAAGGTTAGGTTCGGTTCAAGAAATTTCCCCTTGAAATTTTTTCAAAATGAAATTGATCTTTTAAGCAATACCGTGCATTTAAAATTTGTTCATTTTTTTGAACGCGTATTTCTTGAAGTTATAATTTTCTTGCGAACAGTTCAGAACATGATATTGACTGAATTAAAAGTGCATGCGTTTAAACTTTAAATTCGAGTGGCTGAGGAACAGAAGTCTCACAATCGAATTCTACGTAAGATGTACCTAAATTTCTTATCGAGCTGCAAGCGATGGTTGAAAAAATACAGCTGATAACTGCAGTATTCCTTCTTTGGATAGCAAAATGATGTCTTATTGCTCCTTGTTTCAGGAAAGGGTATCACTTTCGATTCTGGCGGAATATCCCTTAAAACTCCAAGCAGTTCGATGATGTGGATGCGAGGAGACATGGGTGGCGGTGCGGCAGTTATAGGAGCTATGCGAGCAATTGCAGCGCTGAAGTTGAACGTGAACGTTGTGGCCCTTGTTCCTCTAGCGGAAAATATGATTGGAGGCAGTGCGACGAAAGTTATGGATGTTGTGGTTGCCAAAAACGGAAAGAGTATCGAAGTTGGAAACACGGATGCTGAGGGTAGGCTTGTGTTGGCCGATGCCTTGACTTACGCGGGAAAGTTCTCTCCCAAAGTTATCGTTGACGTGGCTACTCTAACGGGTGTGTACATCTTGAATTTCGTTAATTCAGGAACTTTAGGTGACTCTTGAGTTGAGTGCATCCCAAAGCGGCACGTATTCAAAACAGCGCATTCTGAAAAGAAAAAAATGTACGTTGCAGTTTTTGGGGCATCCGAGACAAAAACATAGATTTCCTAGATCAAATTTTCAAGTGTCGTACAATGGTACAGTTACAATTGTGATGTTCATGTACGTTTCATTTTTTATAGCGATTTATCTTCCTGAGTATTGGGAAGATAAGTCATTGAAGGATGATCTCTTTTAAGTTTCCGTAGAATTTCCATTCAAGTTCTGTATCAGCGTATATTACCTGTATCACACCAAATTACTGTACTATGTCTCAAATCTTGTTTTTCAGTTTCCAAAATTTCTAGTTTTAATATGGAGTAGGTCTGAGTCCACGTTACTGTGCCTTTATTATTCATTATAATTTTATTTATTTCGACTTGAGGTCGAGAAAATTCTTGAAAATCCAGACAACCGAGTTTTATGCAATTTTCGTGAGGAGAGCGTCTCTTCTTCCTGACAAATTGAGAGCCCCAAGGTTTCATTTCCAGTCGCATCAAATCAATGTTTGTAAAACTTCTTAAAAGATATGGAACCCTCAGATTCTCAGAACATGTGCGGTATGTGGGAGGAAGATTTTTTTCCCGCATATGTAGAATTTTCAGAAAGTTTGTACACCAAGAGGAAGTCTCGTTAATTTTCAAGAATTCAAGGGACGTCGTTCTTGATTAATAATCTTTGGGTGCCGTTTCCAACGCTGCTCTTCGAGTCAAATTCTCGCGCTGTTTCGGACCTGTCGTTATTTTAGAGAGTTTTTTTTCCTTCCGTTGTAGCCTTTTCTTGCTCATCGATGATACATGAATTCTGTTCGGTGTTTTAGGTGCGATTCGAACAGCGTTGGGGCCCGCTGCATCTGGGGTATTTACGGCCCACACCAAGGAATGGAAGGCCATGAAACGGGCAAGCATTGAAACGGGTGATCGAGTTTGGCGTATGCCGTTGTGGGATTATCATCGTTCTGCTGTCGTCGGTTAGCATTTTATATGCATTAATTTTTTCTAATCCGTCGAGTAAAATAAAAAAAAAAATCTGTTCTTCTGACAGTAAATTCTCGCGTCGAACGATTGAATGTAAATTGCACCATGATGGTTGTACAAAACGCTAGTGTCGACATTTGGAATTTAAACTTGGTATTTAAACTTGGCTTATCCATCTTGTACTGACATATTCCAGGCAAAGTATTTGAAACTCTGTTTAATGTTGTACCTTTTTATTTTTGTTATCCATATGTTTTGCCGCACAGTATTTATAATCGTGCGAGATTCTTATTCGATCTACAGTATTTGGATATTTGATCTTAGTGTGAATGCTGTTTCTGTACTCTTCTGTACTTTTGCTCTCCCATTCTTTTCCCATCAAAAAAGATGGGTTTCCTGACTCGAAAACACCACAAGTTGATTTTCTGTGGGTTCCTCTGAGTTTTACTGCAACATGTTTTACTGTATTTGGTACAAAGAACGAAGGAGTAACGGAAAAAGCAGCTTCAGTTTTAGGGACAATTCATAATGTCTGAAGCTAAAATTTTTTTCTCAGACGGACACCTCGCTGATGTCAGTAATGTGGGCAATCATGAAGGGAATGGCGGGGCGTGTATCGCCGCCGCTTTCCTGAAGGTCAGTGAATATATTTTCCATGTCAATATTCGTGATAACACCTCGTAATTTCGGCGTTTATCCAGGAATTCGTGCCAAAAGGGGTTCCTTGGATGCATATGGATATTGCTGCTGCTTCTCGTGCTTCCACACCCTCAGATCCCCCTTATTATGTTAAGGGATTCACTGGCCGTCCAGTTCGTACTCTCTTGCGTTTTGTGATGGATCATGATTAGAACAAGTTAAGAAAAAAAATTGTTTCCACGGCGTGAATTCCAACTGTTCATTCGATTATTGACGGGATGAAGAAAGATTGCCTCGGGTAGTGTAGGGAAAGCCTCATTGTGAAAAAGCGTCTATGTTTTCAAGTAATGCATAAAGCCTGATTTTTGTAACATGCCGTGATCTTCGCGAAGATGGAATTTGTTGGATCAAGAAATTTCTGATGTCAGCTGACTTGAATATTCGGATTCATCTAAAATATAGGAAAGCGATCGAACTTCACCATAGAAAATCATGATACTGTAACTTGATATTGTGTTGGACCTTGACGTCATTCATGCAACTCTGGAAAATTTTCTTCCATGTGCCAGGTGCCCAAAAAAAAAAGGAAAAAATCGCAGTGTTCAAATAATTTAATTTCATGGTTTGTTGAATGTTATGAGCTTCTTCAGGCTTTTAAAGAATCCGGATTCAAGTGATCAGAAAGTCTTGATTAATTCTATTGAAGAAGCGTATTATATGAGCGCTCTCGTTGCATTATTTTTTTTCTTGTAGGTTTGCAGTGAAGAAGTGCGTCTATTATTCAGGCGTGGAACCCCAAGTGCTCGAATTCAGCTGGGCGAGTGTGTTTGTTGAGTTTGAGTTTAGATTGCAGTTAGATTACTTTAATTTTCTATTTTTCTTGATCTTTGGAGATGAGAGGTACTTCGGAAAAGTTCGGGGTGTGAAAAATTTATCCGATGGAGTTTCGGGGTGCTAATCGTGTCCATTCGAGTAAAGCATTCGATTTATTTCGTGCATTGTAGTGTATAGGATTGGAGTGAGCTGAATCAACGATTGCAATCGAACTGCAAAGGTGAGACTTGGTTTACCTAAATGAAGCACATCTTATATTTTTTGATGATTTGAAAGAGATAAGGCAGACGCTGATGATGTTAGTGACTGAGAAACTCTTTCTGATTATGCTTGTTTTCGTTGAGCAATTTGTATCAAGGGAAATTTGAATCGATTAAAGCACGTATTTTCCTGCAGGAATGATTCGACGTGCAGCTGATGCTTGGAGTAGACCCTTGAAACGTGAGAAAACGTTCCAATCCTTTTTGTATTGCATACACATGATGACGTGTATAAGAGATAAGGCAGACTCTGAATTATTCAGTGATTTAAATACTCTTCCTGATTCTGTTTCTTTTGTTGAATGAATCATGTTGGAAGGAACGTCTTCGTAGGCTTTTATGTTTGCAGGTTTGACTTGGCGTGCAGAAATTGCCGGAAGCAAATCCAAAAATTGAGATTATGTTGAAAATTTTTTGCGTTTGAGATACCCGTGATGACTTGTAAGAGATAAGGCAGACTCTGATTACATCCATGATTGAGAAACTCTTCCTGATTCTGCTCGCAATAATTATATTGTTTGCAAGCGTTCATTTCTGATATTCATTGAGTATCTTGTTTTCAGCTGTGAGGATGCATGCAGGATCTGTTCGTAGGAGACCTTCAAAAAGTGAGTCCAACATGCAGTACAATTTTTGTTTTTTTTTGAAATTTCCGTGATGATTTGTAAGAGATAAGGCAGACTCTGATTGACGCAGTGAATAAGAACTCTTCCTGATCTTGCCTCATTCTTTTCTGGTCTAAAGTATTTTTTGGAAAACTTCAGGTAATTATTGCAATTTTCTTCCAGCGGTGATGTGTAGAACTGCGGTTGTTCGAAGCTGATCATGGAAAAGTAAGTCTACAGTCAATTTATGTTTTTCGCTGATACTTTTATGATGATTTGAAAGAGATAAGGCAGACTCTGATTATTTTAATGATCGAGAAACTCTTCCTGACATTTTTTTCTGACGAATCATTGGTATTCTATGAAGCATCTCTAATATTTATATCTTTTTCATTTTCAAGGTTTGGGTGACGTGAAGACCTGTTCAAAGCAGACCCTAAGAAAGTAAGTCCAGAGATTTTCTTCTTGTGTGGTATTCGGAATATTTATGATGATTTGAAAGAGATAAGGCAGACTCTGATTATTTTAATGATCGAGAAACTCTTCCTGACATTTTTTTTTTTTTGACGAATCATTGGTATTCGATGAACCAACTCTAATATTTATATATTTTTCATTTTCAAGGTTTGGGTGACGTGAAGACCTGTTCAAAGCGGACCTTATGAAAGTAAGTCAAGAGATTTTCTTGTGTGGCATTCGGAATATTTATGATGATTTGAAAGAGATAAGGCAGACTCTGATTAACTCAATGACTGAGAAACTCTTCCTGATACTGCTTTAATACTGTAAAAATTCGACGTGCAGCTGATGCTTGGAGTAGACCCTTGAAACGTGAGAAAACGTTCCAATCCTTTTTGTATTGCATACACATGATGACGTGTATAAGAGATAAGGCAGACTCTGAATTATTCAGTGATTTAAATACTCTTCCTGATTCTGTTTCTTTTGTTGAATGAATCATGTTGGAAGGAACGTCTTTAATGATCGTAGGCTTTTATGTTTGCAGGTTTGACTTGGCGTGAGAAATTGCCGGAATCAAATCCAAAAAGTGAGATTATGTTTCATTTTTTTTCGCGTTTGAGATACCCGTGATGACTTGTAAGAGATAAGGCAGACTCTGATTACATCCATGAATGAGAAACTCTTCCTGATTCTGCTCGCAATAATTATATTGTTTGCAAGCGTTCATTTCTGATATTCATTGAGTATCTTGTTTTCAGCTGTGAGGATGCATGCAGGATCTGTTCGTAGGAGACCTTGAAAAAGTGAGTCCAACATGCAGTACAATTTTTGTTTTTTTTGAAATTTTCGTGATGATTTGTAAGAGATAAGGCAGACTCTGATTGACGCTGTGAATAAGAACTCTTCCTGATTTTGCCTCATTCTTTTCTGGTCTAAAGTATTTTTTGGAAAACTTCAGGTAATTATTGCATTTTTCTTCCAGCGGTGATGTGTAGAACTGCGGTTGTTCGAAGCTGATCATGGAAAAGTAAGTCTACAGTCAATTTATGTTTTTCGCTGATACTTTTATGATGATTTGAAAGAGATATGGCAGACTCTGACTATTTTAATGATCGAGAAACTCTTCCTGACATTTTTTTCTGACGAATCATTGGTATTCGATGAAGCATCTCTAATATTTATATCTTTTTCATTTTCAAGGTTTGGGTGACGTGAAGACCTGTTCAAAGCGGACCCTAAGAAAGTAAGTCAAGAGATTTTCTTGTGTGGCATTCGGAATATTTATGATGATTTGAAAGAGATAAGGCAGACTCTGATTAACTCAATGACTGAGAAACTCTTCCTGATACTGCTTTAATACTGTAAATTGCATTATAATGCCAATAAAATGTAATTTAAATCATTAATGTAATACTTTCCTTCCTTACAGGGATTGAGCTGACGAGCAGCAGTTATACGAAGCAAACCCACAAAAAGTGAGACAATATTCCGTGTGTTTTGTTCATTTGAGAAATGATTATGATGACGTATAGGAGATAAGGCAGACTCTGAAAAAACCTATGTTCGGAACTCTCTTCCTGATATACAGTACAGTACTACGCTTTAGTTTTTTCCCCTGCTCATTGAGTGTGGATATCGGAATTTAAAGACCTTGATCTATTTCTTTTGCAAAGGTTTCGGCTGGAGATGAAGGGCGTTCCCAAGAATTGAACCGGTAAGTTATAACTATTTTGATGCAATTCATTGTGGTTTCTTTTATGTGGATTATTTTTGGGAAGAACTTACTGATGGAACAATTCTTCTGTTTTTTTCAAGAGAATGAACCAAAACATTGTTAGACTTGTCATGCTTAAAAATAGAATACCGTATCAACTTTCATTTTTATACCTTCGCGGGGTTCGTCATCTTGAATCAACATCTTTCCGAATGTAAAACTGGTTTGAAAAATTAGAATTTGAAAATGAGGCCGTAATCTTTAGGTTTTTTTGGATATATTTTATTTTATTCTATGAATTTTGTTTATTTTATCCTTCACTATATGGCAGAAAATTGACTTTTTAAATGTGTTTGTATTTTTTGCCCTGTGATTTTTATGCTGTGTGACCTTTATTTCAGATTTCTGCCCGTTCGATGAATCGAGTTCAGAAGATGTGTCTCAAGAAAATCTTCGGAAAAAAATATTCAGACACAACGTGATACAGTGAGTTTTTCCTCCTCCTTCGGAAGCTTGGTCAAGTTCTACTTTTTATACGTTTCTCCTCGAGTTGCAGAAGTCAGCTTTAAGAGCCCTCGCGATATGGCTGAACTCTCAGCAATTGAAAAATTGCCTTATGAACTCTTGTTCAAAATTTTCGCCTACTGTCCAAGCGTGGGACTCAGAAAATCTCTGATGTCAGTGTGTGAGACCTTCAAAGAAGTTCTTCGACAACCTTCGGCCTGGCAAACAGTTGAACCCGACGAACAAGATTCCCCGGACGATATCTGCGAAATTCTGTCTCTCAACTCTGAAGCTGTGAAATTATTGAAATTGTCTTCAGTGAAAGGACTTTCTGAGATCCTGTCTACAATCGAAGATAGAAATATTCAACTGAAAACCCTAATCGTCGATTCTTTTGACATCGAATTGATCCAAGTTGGCGAGATCGAGCGTATTATGACTAAATCTTCAAGGAGTTTGACAGCTTTATCAGTCCGTAGATTGTCATGGCCGAGAATGGGCCCTTTTTTGAAAACGAGGGAAAACTTCGTGCTGAAATCCTTGGACCTGGAGCAGTGCAAAAACCTCGACAGCTCTTCATTTTCCCAGTTGATATCGAATTGCCCTCATCTCGAATTGCTCAACATTGACTTCGTGGAATGCTTGGGTGATGCGAGCATTTATGAAATAGCTGATAATTTGCCCGGATTGCGAGCCTTGTTCATAGACGGAGATAATCTCTTGTCTTCAAGCTTCAGTTACTTGTTGAACAACTGTGTCAAACTGGAGGCATTTGGGGTCTCTTACGCCAGAAATTTTTGCGATGGATCCCTGAAGAAAATCGCAGGCATGAAGCAAATGAAATATTTGAAATTGAAGCATGCTGAAGCGATTACTACTGCGGGGTGGTTGAAGTTCTTACGATCAATTCCCGAGGGTTACTTCAGCGAATTGAAGACCTTGAATTTGCAGAATTGCCCAGCGTTGGAAGAAAATGTCATGACTGCTTTAGCAAGCAAATGTCCAAATCTCGAGTGGTTCGTCATTGAATTTTCAGAGATCGGAGATGAAGGGTTGACTTCTTTAGTGCGATCGTGTCCGAATTTAAGAGTGATTTCTTGTACGGGTTCCTGGTCGATTTCGGGAAAGTATTGGCTAGACGATGTCGGAAATAGTTTGAAGCGCTTGCAATACGTTGATATGACCATGTGCAATGACGTGCAGTTGGACGATGTGGAAAGAGTGGCGAAAAAGTTTCGTCGAGTGGCATTCTTAAACTATTACGGGAATTTATTTAGTGGGGAGCCAGATTTGTCTGGCCATCATTTCTTGGATTTATTGAACCAAAATCTCACATTGGATGATGTCATTTATAACCGAGTCGTTCATCCGAATATTATCTCAGCTGCCCTGGTTCGTGCCAGGAATGCATCGGCATTCCATTCCGATCTTGAGTAAAGTAGCACCTCGGTTAATGGCCCAGATCTTGTGGGAGGTTCATTATCCGGAAATTATATTAACCGAGTGATTTGAACCTATATGTAATATCTAATGTATTCTCGACACCTCAAAACTTATCTGAGATGACTAATACTGTTTTAGACTGCGAATACTTTCCGAATTTTTCGAAAATTTGCTTCGGAAATTCTTGAGTAAATTAATGATTGAAGACATGTTCTACACAAAACGGCATCAAACTCTTCTTGTGGCAAATAAAGCCATGCTCAAAATTGTCAGGAAATTGAAAGAAATATTCCTTCATCTGACAAAAATCCTGTAGCAGTCATGTACGTGTAGCTTTTTTCGATTGAATTGGAAATCGATATTATGTTGAATTTGTCCTTGAATCGATGGGGTCTAATTCACGGCGGTTGAAAGGATTCTTGCATCGGGACTTCGTGTGTTTGCGGTCGATTGAGTTCCGTTCTTTCAAGTTTTGCAATCTTTGATTCGTGATAATCAATTATGTGATCACCGACCTTCGTAGTCATATTTTTGCATCTGATGTGCTTTTTATGTTGGGTTTTCATCGAAGGAAGACAATATCTCTCCGAAAAAGTCGTGGGGGAGGGGGGTTTATCTCGTTGGTCTGTCTATATGCTGATGCATCAATTAAATTACTGTGTTTTAGGAAATGTTTCCTTGCGGCATTCTAGCAAGATATTTCTTTTTGAACTCATGGCCAGAAGTGGAATCATGAACTGGCTGAAGTCGCTGAAAGTTCGATATTTTTGTTATGGTATTCTTTTGTCTACTGTCGCTTGGGTTGGACTTCTTTATGTTTTCCTGACTTCCGGTCAACAACATTTTGAGGTGAGACTCTTTCTATTGAGTTGACAAACTATTCGCGTATTCATTTCGAGATTTTCGTGATTCAAGTTTTCAGGTGATCGAGGCGTGAATGATGCCCAACAACGGAATGTGTTCGTGTTACCAGAAGAGAAAGATTATAATGTTTCTGATGCCATGGGTATGGTTCGAAATGATGACGACATTGACGTGAAGACGAAAGGCATGGCGGAACACGCCTTCAATGTTTTAATCAGCGACCGGATTGGATCACTTCGTAAGATTCCTGATACTCGGAATTCGTTGTAAGTACGAAAAGAAGCATTGCAGTAAATTGTATTTGGTGATATTGTATAACTTAAATTGCCCCTTTAATTATAATGCTGATCTTTTAGGCAAGGGTTTAATTGCCAGATAAGCTTTTCAATTCCTTTCAAAATACTGTTTATCGAGTTACGTTTTTAGTGCTTTTCCCTTTCCCTGTGTCAATGGAACAATATCCAAAAGGCCTCCGGAAAATTCGAGTTATGTAGGTTTGAGGATGAAAGTCTTCGATTTTGTGAGGTTTTTAATACATTGTTTCTAAAGGAATTTAGATAGGGACTTTAAAAAATCAGACAAAGGGAGGCACGAGATATCGAGGTTCAACTGTATCCGATGTGTTGCATTCGTTTTTGTAGTGATCAGCGGTTTTTGTATAGGTGTCCATCGGTGGCTTATCGCAAAGATCTTCCGACTGTATCTGTGATAGTTTGCTTCCACAACGAAGCTCGATCGCCTTTGGAGAGAACCGTTTATTCCGTGCTGAAACGCTCCCCAGAGGCGTTGCTGGTGGAGATCATTTTAGTGGACGATTTCAGCGACTCAGGTTTTTCCCGTTTTTTTCAGTAAAATTTACTGAAAATCATTTTGAGAATTTCTTAATTTTTTCAGAATATTCCGAAGCCGCGAAGCTGATCTCTCATCCGAAAGTACGTTATTTTCGCACGGAAGAACGCGAAGGATTGATTAGGGCGAGGATGATTGGTGCTAATTCGGCAACTGGTGCTGTGAGTTTTTGATGGACTCCATTTTGTGGAAAGTAGTTTAAGAAATTACTGTATTTAGTTCTTGATTTACTTGAACAAAATACACACCCGCATCTTTTGATGCTAAGAACTGTGTACGATATTTAAAGACGTATTTGGAATCATCTGAATCAAATGAGTCCCTTGACAGCTCGTCTACAGTATATAGTATACAGTACTGTATAACATATATACTGTAGTATGCTGCTGCAGGATATGCATATTTTCCCTTCAAGGAATGAAAATTTGTCTGATATTTTGTTCAGTAGCTTTTTAAATTTATTTTTCATTTGGCTGGAGGCGATAAATTTTCTGTTGATCTATGTCGCCATCGATGGACCCTGATCTCCTATGACCTTTTTTCGTAGAGAAAAGCATCCTATTTTCCGAGTGACTGTGGGAACGCGCGGTTTTTCAAGTACGATTTCTTCCATGCTCAGGTTCTTGTGTTCCTCGATAGTCACTGTGAAGTGAACAAGCAGTGGTTGGAACCCCTGGTGGAGCCGATTGCGGAAAAAGCGAGTGTGGTAACGGTTCCCATCATCGATATGATCGATCCCGACACGTTTGAATACAGACCTTCGCCTTTAGTCAAGGGGGGTTTCAACTGGGGACTTCATTTCAAATGGGACAATGTTCCTCGTGAACTCTTGGCTAACAAAGAAGACTTCGTGAAGCCAATCAAGTAGGGGACTTCTGAAAATCGAAACAAGCGTTCGGAGTTGATTCATTGATTGCATTATTTTAATGTATTAGGTCCCCGACAATGGCCGGTGGACTTTTCGCGATTGAGAGGGACTACTTTTTCCACCTGGGTGGTTACGACTTGGGATTGAAAATCTGGGGTGGAGAGAACTTGGAGATTTCCTTCAAGGTACGTTTTTTCTAAACAAGTTATGCATCAGTTCATAACCCAGAACCAGTTCATAACCCCTGAAGTAATTGGATCTAATGTTCTTGCAGATTTGGATGTGTGGCGGTGAGATGTTCATTATGCCGTGTTCTCGAGTTGGGCATGTGTTCAGAAAACGAAGACCCTATTCCTCGCCTGGAGGCGATTCCATGATGAGAAATTCCTTGCGTGTCGCCCGCGTTTGGATGGATGATTATGTCGTGAGTAATTCATTTCCTTGCTTCTTAAATAAAAAAAAAAAATTGCTACTGCCACAATTGAACAGTAAGTCAGTAATTGCAATGCGAGCTTTCAAAATTCGGACGTTTTGACTTACTCTTGTCTTGAAAGCTCAAATTTCTGAATACCTGATGCAACTCTTCGAGCAGTGAGGATGAAGTGCGCAAAAAGCCAGAACGCTGAATCAATAAGTTAACCCAGTGTAACCGAAGCTTTTGTAGCTTACACTTTATTGCAGTTGCTCTTGCTTTTTAATTTTTATTTTCGCCGTAACGTATTCCTTCAATGCTTGCTTTTCTGACGAGTATACAGTTGCACTTCCAGTGCATGTACAGTACTGTACTGTCTTTGGGTGTGCAGATTTTAGTTTCGGCTTCACGGACATCGTCCTCTAGAGGAATTTGCCTTCTGAAGAATGAATATACAGTAATTTTCTTTCTTTCGCAGAAATACTATTACGCGACGAGACCAGAAGCAGAGGCTGAAGATGTTGGAGATCTGAAAGAGCGAATACAGTTGAGGGAACGTTTGCAGTGCAAGTCATTCAAGTGGTATTTGGAAAATATTTATCCGGAATTGGAAGTCCCTCCGTTGAATGGGTCTGATCCGGGCCTTCGACGCGTTAATGGATCTCCTGTGAGCAGGCCATCGAAAAATCCATTCACGAGGCGCTTTCAGGTAATATTCAGTGCATAGTAAATTCTAAAGAATTTCAACATTTTCAACGATTATATCCTCTTCAATCTTGAGTATTTTCCTTTCCGTCCAATCGAAAACCTGCAGAAAATTGTGATAAGTGACTTACGTGCAAGTTCTGCCTGACACCCTTCAATCTTTGCGAGAGAAGACGCTTGAATTTTTTCTCAATATTTTAATCAATAACTGGAAATCAATTTTTATGCGTCTTCGGGAAGAAAATTCCATGCACTCGTTCAGGTTGTTCAATCTTTGAAAATTGAATTGTACAGGCTGCTTTTTCTGGTCAATTTTGAGACTCGTGGTTTGGACACGGAATTTTCAGATACGTTTGAGCGGAAGCAAGCTTTGTTTGGCATCCGAAGACGGAGACGTCGCCGCCAAGGGTTCGTTTCTGCATCTTGTGGATTGCTTAATGGGGAAACGGAAGGGACAGGTTTGTTTTAAGGTTAAAGCTCATTTATTTTTCCTCTTACTTGAAGATCATCTCACATTTCAGACGTGGTATGAAACAAATCATGGGGAATTGCGTCTTGAAAACGTCTTGTGCATGGATGCCCACCCCTTGAAGGGTGCTCGACTTCTGAAGTGCCATCAGTCTGGATCATCACAAGAATGGCGAATCGGAACCGACGTATGAACACGTTTCATTCAATTACAGTATTTTTAAAATTTGAGCTGTTCAATTATAGAATTTGATTCTTCTTTTAGCGAGAAACGCCGCTCTACAGCTTTGCGTCAGGAATGTGCCTTGGAGTCGAATCGGCTTCTTCCCGAGCCCGTGCTAAAATGGTCGTCTGTGGTGCAGATAAATCGCTCGCTCAGTGGGACGTTTTGGAATACTGAATGCACGGAAAAACATTCTAGACTTAAGCATGTTACACGACGGTCATTCTTTGTTTTACGTCGCAGACACAGATTCTGAGATTTTAATTTATATTGCCTGCATTAAGGTTCAGATTAGGTTCAAAAATGAGACACTTCCTTGACCTTCGAAAAGCGGAGGTAAAACAGACCTGGGGGCAAAATTTATTTTCCAGAAAAAATTGTTACGAAATGATTTTAAGGCACGGTATAATTTGAAGAATTCTTTTGAAGTAACTAAATAAAATTCTGAGACAGAACTTCGAAAAGGCGCAGAAATCTTCCGATGTCCACAATTGAAAAAGACAAGACGGGTGAAATTGCATCGAGGTTTGATAATTTGAACAAAATGCGTTAATTCGAGGTATTGCGCATTTAGGAAATCCTGAAATGAGCCACGGGGAAGAATCTTTTGATGTAAGCATCGCAGAAGAACTTGGTAATCTTGCGTTTCAAAAATTGTTCGTTGCGAACGAGTGGGTGTTTTGGATATTTGTACTATGTGTGAACGATCTATGGGTTGCTTCTCAACTGTAATTGGTTGTGATAAGGAAGAAATGCAAGCTGTTGGACGTGGAAAGAACTGTTTCAACCATTCTAGACACAATTTTTTATGCCGTCTAGAACTAATTACAAAATATCTGCCTACCTATTAGGCTGTCAACCTCATTCATGAGCCTTGGTCCAGCGTATCTTGCCAAATTTTTCTTTTATTTCGTTGAGCATTCGCAGTAATTATGTTCAACAATTTCCAAGAAAATGTTCAAGAAATTCGGATTTTATCAGTCGTATGATATCGCTCATGTCGCTTGATCAGGTTAAAAAAAATATGATGGTCTGGGAAGGATAAACCTTTTCCTACAGCTTTACATTTCTTGGTTATTGAACTCCGGATAATTTATACCTTCCATGAATAAGTCAAGTCAAAAATGATACCACAGTAGTTTCCATACAATTGTAATATCAGCTCACAAATTTTTTAATCGTACTAATTTGGTAGTTTCACTTTATTTTTCTGTACTACCGATCTGCTGTATGCCTCAGCCATGTCCAAAAAGATAATTAATTCTCACGTAGAGCCGTTCTTCATTTATATTACATGTGCATTTTATCAAAAAATTCAAGTAGGAAGCATTCAAAGCCTACAATTCCTGCACCGAATGTTTCCGAAATCTGCCGGAGAAGATGTGAGGTACGTGCTCAGAATTCATTAATTCCATTGCAAATTCGTATTTTTTCATTTCACTTTTTTGTGAGTGACATTGAATGTGCGTCACTCTAGGTTATTAAAGAGGAATGCCCTTCCCTTGAGGTGGAAACTCAGTATATGATTCCTGTGAAAAAGGATTTTTCTTCTCCTTCGTATGATGCGTTACATGAAATTTCAAATACAGCAGAATCTCGTTATCACGAATTACTTTATTGGTGTCTAATTGAAGAGCAAAGGAAAAAATTGCGTCAGCCTTCGATGACGGCAATTGGCCGTTTATCATCTTCCACGAACCAACCCTCGTATGTATTGAAATCTAGCAACTTTACATTTGGTCAAGGAGACCTTAGAATCTTAGATCATACCGCGTGAACTGTTTTGTCATCACATATAGTATATTTAATCGAAGGGACACTCAATATTTGGAATATCTAAGAATCTCTCTCTTGATAAACTTTTGAATTTTTGATTCATTGAGGTCAGTTTTTTTTTCCCAGGGAAGTGATGTCATCAACGAGAGATGACAGTGTTGAAAAGAACCCCCAGCAGTGACGTTGTGAGAACGAGAGATACAATGGCCGCCATCTTGTGTGAACTGTTGTGGCCGTTGCATCCGTCGCTTTCGCAGGCACACATGAAGCCTCCTGGAATATTTCCGACCCTCGGTGTATTCATGCACATTCTTCCACTGCCGCAAGTCCTCCATGTTGCCATAGCTGTTGATATAGTAAAAAACTCGGTGAGAGTTTCATTTTTAGATATTTCTTTTAATGAGATACTGTATCTGGTTAATCTTCCGAAAATGCAAAAGTACAGTGTTTGTTGGGTGGTGAGTCCATATTTTTCAAAGCTCTCGCTTGCAGTATTTTTAGAGTCCATCCATCAACAGTATGTAAATGGTTTACCGATGTTAAGAAAGGCGAAGTAGGGAACCTTTGGTTTTGGAAGTATGACTTTTTCAGTAGGTCGAATCATGACTAGTTAGCCAGGTTAGTTATATTGTTGGCCGAGCATTAGGTTAAGTTTGTTCATCATTACATTGTTAGTTTAATGTAACGTTACTTTAGCGTAGTTAATTACAATGTTGAGTTTAATTGGTTGTGAGTTAAATTGGTCAATGGATACTACAGTATAAGGTTTGTTGCAAGGTCAGATTAGGTTCTGATATTTAGGTGCATGGTTAAATTGGGGTTTAAGGGGCAAAACTTATGTCAGGAAAGGGTTTAATTAGTCTGGGGGAAGCTTGGGTAAGGTTTGATTAGTCGAGTGTAATACAATACAGTATTAGGTTTGGTTGTTGTGTTACAGGATTTTTCCCTGTTGAGACGAAGAATGGGCCAAATTGTCAATTTTCTTGATGGTCCATTCTAGATTGAAGCGAGTCATATCAATGGGGAGGTATATTTAAACTTATATTTCTTTGAGGCTTTTAAAGGCATGTTAGGAAAATGTTTTGATGATATCGCGCCTCTGATTACATTTTAAGCTGTTCTTGATTTTCTCTTCAGAGCTTACGGACGGAACGTGTTGAAATTCTCCAAGTCGTGCAAATTATCTCCTTGCTTTTCAATATAAATATTTCATAAATTGAGTTTTCTAATTCGCGGATTCTGAATGGTTCAGGTATAATTTTGAGTTGAATGTAAAAAAAAAAAAAAAAGAAACTTGGAAAACTTACTCATGGATTGATCACTGAAAACGGAAACGCAGCCACGTTTACAGTTCACCATGGCCATTTTTCCCAATGGTTGGGCGCATTCCATAGGCGTAGTACAGAAGTAGCATTGCATCATACTCTCCCCTATTCGAATGCGAATTATTGCCTTGAAAACGAACTTCATCGACCTAAAATACGTTTATCTAACCTGGCACCACCAACATTAAGCCCAACATAATGCACAGGGCCCTCGAGAAAAGCGCCATGATCAGAAATTTCAGCGTAAACCGTGCCTAATTTTGACTAAATAATTGAAGTGTTGCATTATTGACATGGCTGATGGGTTCTTATTATTGATTTATGTTTCTGATCAGGGTTTTTCTTTCTGTCATGGTGTAAGACAGCTGTTGGAAGGAAGAGGATGGTGAAGGTCCAAGATGAGGAAATTTTCGCCTTGGAATCGAAAACCAAAGGGTGATTTCAATTTTACTCCCTAAGTCGCCTGGAACTTCGTCAGGCGCGGAAATCGTGTTTATTCAGTTTTACCCGTTTCTCCTCTGTCGAAATTGAGGCGAATCTAAGGTACGTTGGTTGTTCGTTTATTCTAGAACACCCCTCGAGTTCTTCGTTCTTCCCGGAAAGGGCTAGTGATGATTAGGTTACATCAGTGAAAGTGTACTCTTCGTACGAAACATTTTGGCCTTGTCAATATTATCCGCTCAATAAGGCACGTTTTGGCCTGAGGATTTTCATGTTTTTCCGCAGCTTCCATGTAACGATATTTCTTCTTCTGTAGCTATGGGCGTGAAGATTAACCCGTGCATTGCACTGGGGCTGTGCATAGCTGCTGCGTTTTGCGTCGTATTGCTGACGCAAGGCGTGGAGGCGCAGATAAACATTCATTTGCCGCCAGGGCCGCCGTCTGCGATCAAGTGCCGCCACTCGGGAACGTTGGCTCGCAAGCCCACGTGGAGCATTTGTGACGAGAGTCGGTGGCAGTCGCCTGTCATCTGCGATCACGAATCCGGGCACAAGGCACAATGCGTTTCCGCTATTGATCTGTATGATCACAGGTCTGTAACCTGTGTACTGTACGATGCTGCGAATGATAATTATACTGTCGAACCTCTCTAAATCGAATTTAAAGGGACGAGCGAAATAATTCGACTGGGTGAGGTTTTGAGCTCGAGAGATGCTGAGTCGGGGAAACGAGCATTTTTGTTTGGGGAAACTTAGAATTGCAGCAAATTGTGAATGGTGATACTCCGGTGCTTCAATTGTTTCTTGAATGAATTGAAAGGATGTTGAACTTGTAGGCAAGGATTTATTTTCCCAATTCGTCTTCACTGCTTTTCAAAACGCAAGAAGTTATTTTTATTACTCTTCTCTTTCCTGTGTTGAGAAAAAGTCGCCAAAAGGCCTCGGAAAACTCTAGTTATGGAGGCTTGAGAGGAAAAGTCTTGGGGTTCGAGGATTTTACTAGTGTCTTAACGGAATTTAGTTTGGGACAGTCTACAACGATCTTGTCTGCTACGATTTTCTCTGTACTGTTCAAAGCATTATTTTTCGTCCTATAGGTTTCTTTTCCCGTGGTTCTTCAGGCGTTTTCCTGATGAATTTTTCCTTATCTCTTGAATTTTGTCGTGGAAAGTCTACCTCTACCGTATATGGCATTCAGTTCATGTCGTATTAAATAGATGTCGCTTATAGTCTCTCATTCGTATTTATGCCTGACGTGTCGCTTCGTCATCCTAACGCTCTGAATTTTCTTGAGATTCAGATTCTGTCGGAAGATGGATGAAGTTAGTGTGTTTCCTTTTTTCGGCAGATTGTCCCGCGGTTGCTTGTCGCATACGGAAATGGACCTCTTGTACATGTTCTCGTCGCGAAGTGAGCAAACTGGACGATGTCGTGTTTCCAATGGCACCATCTACTGTTTCTGCGAACACGACATGTGCAATGATCATCAGCTATTCACCGACCACAAGTGTTTCCATTGTGGAGGCCCGGGCCATGCCATGCAAGAGTGCAAGACCAAGAATGGCGTGATTCACAAGTGCTTGTCGCCGTTCGTGCTTTCCCTGGGCAAGAAGACCCATGGAACGATTTATTGCGTGAAGGAAGTGGACACTGCGAATAGTGGAGCTGTGGCGCGGTATTGTGAAGCTTTGGAGTCTCCTCCAGAAAAGATGTGTCAATATGAGGGCAATTCGTACAAGTGTTATTGCACTGAGGATGTGTGTAATATCGGTTGATTTTTCTGTGGAGTGTTATTGTCATTTTTTTTGTCAGTGTTTTTTAATCTTTTAGTGCAAAACCCTTGCGTGATATGCCTTTCTGAGGCTCTGTCGGGTCTTTATTTCGTCCTCTTCTCTTTTTTTTTATCCTCATGTTCCCCGTTATTTTTGGCTCTGGCAGCGTGGGGTTTCTTTGCAATAAAAGCCAGTCCGAATAAGGTTTCCTAATTTGTGTCATTCGTCGCAGTTTTGTCGTGATGCATGATCTCGAGCGTTAAATCTGCCGAGGCGTTAACCTGAAGACGTGAATTCTTTCATCTACAAAAAATCATGTTTCCGAGCTAAAGTTTTAGTTAATCATGAATTTGTTCTGCACGTGCGTTTAGGTTTTTTACTCTTATATCTTTGTCGATTCTACGGGGTCTACTCAGGAAATATTATTTCAAGTATTTCTCTTACTAAGGTCGTGAATTCACTGGTTTTGTCAATTTTCTGAAATCGATTTTCTGGTCTATGTAGGCGAGGGGATTCCACTCAGCAAAATCAGCGCATCGTCGATTGGAAAACCGGCGTCCTCCCTTCTGTGGCCTCCAGCTGAAAGAATATTATTTCAAAAGTTCAATGTTTCTCATGTCTTTCAAGAAAACTGAAACTTTCGAGCGATTTTTTCAGCGATTCTCTATACGGTGCCTTGGGTTCCCAGTCTCTCATTGTAGAAAAGCCTTCCGGGTTATGTAAAAGTACTTTTAATTGGGAGTTAGTTTGAATTTGGAGTAATCGCTCCATTTTACATTAATTGAAGCTTCGTTTGGATTGAATTACACTGATATGACTTGAAAGAAAATAAGCTCTGCTCCCGGCGAAGAAATGCGACGAAGAGAGTACCGAGACCATCAGTGTCTGAGCATGTTTTTGTCGGAGTTTTCTCGGCTTACATCATTTTGTATGTTGAAAATACTAACTAGAAACTTCTACGCATGAATTACAAAGACAGAAAAAATTGAATTTATTTCATATTCAAGGAAATTCCATCCCTTTAGCCCAATAATTAGTGAATCGGGTGGATAAAAAACTGATTAAAAATGAAATTATGCAAATCACTTTCGTTTTCAACGGAATGAATTGAACCTTGGGATCGGTCAATCGAAGCTTAAGCACAGATAATAACCTGAGGAATGCTGGTAGATTCTTTAAAATTCAGATGTAAAATGACGCACTGAAGCGGCTCCAGGAAAAACTGGCAACGATTTCACACTCAGCACCTCGAGATTTATTTAAAAAGAAGATTGAATTACAGTACTCATCAGTGTTTCAAGCATGCGTTTTCAACAGATGAATGTACTTCACGTGTCTTCAGAAGAATGAGTGTTGTCAAATCGAAACAGTGTGCGCGATGGCATGGAGGGGATTATTCCAGATATCCGTGGTGCTCATGATCGTTCCGGCTCAGTATTTCATAGTGAAATGGAGCGGATCTACAGAGAAGTCCCGGTCGGCGGCATTTCAGCAACTGAAACTGGAGTTGGAAAGTCTTGGTACTCATTGGTCGTCCCTTCCCTCGTGGGAGCACTTGTTGGACAAATTCTTCTCCGGTAAGAATGATGGTCCTGAGCATGGTACCGTGTGAGGCCCCGAGATGCGGACGCGATTTGTTGCTTGGATTTTGTCCCTTTGTCAGAATGTTCGCATGTCGAATCATATTTTCCCCTGGACTTCAATGGGAAAATATTTAATTGGTTCCTCCTGTTGATAAAAAATTAAGGAAGTCCCCTATAAAATTGAGTAGAATAATTATTCTCAACTTCAAGATGCAGAAAATTACTATGCTGAAGAAAACCACGCATAGTCTAATGTTTTGGCATGAATAGGAGCCCAAAAAACAAACGAGTACGTCTTCCTGTACTGAGCACAGATGATGGAAAGAACTCGGCAAAAATAAGCACGAATTAGCATCAGCATGTTTTGGATTTTGAATTATTGTGTATTAATAATAAATTGTATCATTATTTTTGAATGTTGAGAACTATTTGGTGAAGAGATATACAAATTTTTGAGTCCAGGGTGGCTTGCAAAAATTTTCCGCAGAATATATCGAACAGGGCTGAATTTTTTTTCTTGTGCCAAACTCTTTTTTTTAACAGTACTTGTGTTTCAGCTCAAGCGTATGCTATTTCAATTTTTGTTCCGGTAATTACTTTTAAACCTTACGGATATCCGAAGCAATCCTATTCATTCGCAGCCCTGAACTTCTTGAAATTCACATTTTTGGGGACAAAACACGCTACAGTTCCACCTCACTTTATTCGTTCGAAGTGTTTCCCTTGTTTTAAAAATTCAATTGAAAGGTTTCAACTCTTAACTTGATGACTTTCGTTTTCGTGTCGCTTCTGGGCGAGCAAAACTTGAAATAGTGGTCAGAAAATGATCAAATATCACTCGGAAAATATTTTCCATCTCCGTTCAACGAGACCTGAGCAAATTTATTGAACAGGACTAATGGAAATCTATGAGCTAAAGCCTCTCGATTATTAAAAACAATTTTTTTTCAGACGACTCACGGAGGCCTTATCCTGGGGGATCGAACGACGAATCCCCAGCCCTGGAAGTACTCGAGCACCGTGAAAAGTCCCTGCAGGGTCACTTTGCGTCTTCTGACACTGATCAAGTTCCGGGTCGGTCAGGTAATCCGGCACAAATCGCTTGGATACCTCGGCATTATCATCGGCTGGGACTACGAATTTCAGGCCCCGGAATCTTGGATCGAACTCCAGAAGGACTCCAACGAGGCGAGTTTTTCAAAAAATGTTCTTGTTGGAGTAGTTGCTTTCGTAATACTGTAGTTGTATTCATCGTGATTCGCTGCGTGAATTACTTTCACGACTGTATTCCCTCAAAATCCCCGCCTGTAAAATCACAGGCCATAGCATTAGCCCAAATTACGTGGAACGACCGGTCAGCGAACCCGCGCCCCCTCTCATTTTCTTTTCAGATATCACTCGCCGCGCATGTATTTTTCCTTGATCCAGGTGTCGCTGCTAGGCTACATCTAATTCTATACAGATCTCTTCGTATTGTACGATTTTTTTATCACATTTAGATGTTTCTTGAATACCGGTATAAACTTTTCGAAGTGTGCAGTTGTTTGAGTCTAATTCAAGTACATTACAGTACCACATTATTAAATATACTGTACTACAGTATCTTTTGTTTACTGTTACCGTTTCATTGAACGTAGTGTAGATGTCGCTGCAGAGCAATTGAAATGATTTGGATTTCTGTTCCGACCCCTTCGTTCGGGCTTTTTTTTTGATAGGAAAACTGTTCATGAATGGAAAATCTATGGTTGATTCTGTATTGGCGAGAACATTATTACTCCGCGTAAAATTTGTAAAAGAAGAGCTGATTTACGAGTATTATAGCTTCAGCCTTAAGACTTTGATTTAGTGAAGGCCTCAATTACTGAAAGCAACTCCTAGTTCTAATCAATTCTAACTTCAACGGTTTTGAAAGTATTTTTGCTCAAATATATGTATGGTAGGTTTTTATTTTACCCTCCAACCTGTGCACCGCATGGCATCTTATTGAACGCCTACCTTAAAGCGTGGTATAAGACGCGAGACTGAAATAAAATATAAAAAGGTACTAATAATAACACTTTCTTACGTAGTATACTGTGACTAGAGAACTAAAAACATCAAAAAGAGCTACGAGAAGTAATTATCCTCCAGAAATTATGTCCAGGTTTGAGATGGAGTGATGACAAAATTCTCAATCAACCAAATTATAGAAAGTTGTAAGGCGATTTTTAGATTTAATGGAGGTTTTACTGCTTTGACGAAGTACAGATTTTAAGTTTTATTACACAAATTTGAGTGTGAGCTGTTGAAGAATTTTTCTTTTTTAATTGACGTAAAATTAATTATTGGAATCTTTGGAATCCACGGCAAATTTGCGAGGGGTTTTAATTTCCTCTCCTCTTCACGAGTACTTGTGAAGGTCTTTTGGGAAATGAAAGAATGGTGCAGAAATCAGAATACTTATGAAGTATTCAATCTTTCTGTCAAGTAATCTGTACTGTATGCATTTACTGTACAGTATTTGTGTGTCGGGTGAAAAACTCTTTAGTTGTGAATTGTGACTTGCATCTTTGATTATAATTTTAAAAATTTCAAATCTGCCCCCAAGTTTTTTTTTTTTTCTGTCACGTTTTGTGTTATCAACATATCTCAAAGAACAGGATTAAACTCGAGAACCGATGTCTTGAGTTTTTCTGTGCAAAAATGTCTTAAGTTTCGTTTTAAATTTGGTTGACACACTTTTTGAAGCGTATTCGAAACATACTACTCCTCTGGAATATTTTGATTTAGGTTGGAATTGCCTTCAGAATCCAAGACGAATTCGTTGTTTCAATTTTCGAATAAATTTCAGAGCCTGTAAAACCATTACACAGTGCTCGAGGCCTGAAAATTGAGAAGTCTCGGCACACCGGGTGCTGGATTTCGTTGTGACAGGATTTCGCTGCAATCTGGTTGCCGGCTAAACAAAATGTGCCATTGCTTCATGTATTGCAGAATTGGAGGCACCGACCCTATTATTCGGTCCTGGTTGACTCCCGTTTCACCGAAACCCCGCTTTCAACTTACTTGATGGAAGATGAAATTGAAGTTGTGCGTCACACCAAGGTCCAGAACCCGGAAGTGATTGAATACTTCGTCAGCTTTGATGGGAGTCAGTACTTGCCTAGAAACTGGCTTCGGTATCTTTATCCTATGGACTAAAAAAAAAAAAAANGTATGGTAGGTTTTTATTTTACCCTCCAACCTGTGCACCGCATGGCATCTTATTGTTGCGGATGGAATTTCGCACCATATTCTGCGCTCTGACTTTATTTTATATTTTTCCATGATTATTATTGTGAAAGAATGCATCATATGACACTGATCTCTTGATTTTTGTAGTTTTTCTCGATGCTCTAGTAATTATTATCCTCCAGAAATTATTTGAGATGGAGTGATGACAAAATTATCTACTAACCAAATTATAGAAAGTTGTATGGCGATTTTAATATTTAATGGAGGTTTCACTGCTTTGACGAAGTACAGATTTTCAGTTTTATTACACAAATTCGAGTGTGAGCTGTTTAAGACTTTTCCTTTTTTAATTCATGTAAAATTAATTATTAGAATCCTTGGAATCCACGGCAAATTGGCGAGGGGTTT